TACGTGCCTCGTCACGTTCCTGACTATGCGGGCTTGGGTTACGGGATTGGATGAAATGAAACACTAATACCGGTTTTCAGACTTTCTATTGCACTTAAGTTACAGCGTCCACGGAGTTAAGTTATCGGCGTTCCTCTCCAGCAGAGTCCGGCCGACTGACACAACTTTGCCGTTCACGCTGACTTAACTCACTTAACTGACTGCACTTCACTATTTCACTGCACTTCACTATTTCACTCACTTTTCTTCTTTTTCACTTCTTCCTTTTCTTCCGAATCGCTTTAGACTTAGAACTCAACTGCCAGCGGTGAGCCGCAGTTCCGCTTATATACCCCCGGTCAAGTTCTGGAACATTCAATTTCGTTATTCTTTTTGATCGTCATGCCTCCAGAACCTTCCAATAATTTCGTTATTCATTTTTATTTATTCTCCTTCTCGCTCTTTAATTTTTCATTTCTTTTACACAATAATTCCAGAAAGTTCGACAAAACTTCCATCAACTAAAAAACTTCATGTTTACGGCGGGACTCGAACTCGGGGTCTCTGTGGTGTAATCCACACGCCTTACCAATTACACCAACTCGTATTGACAATTCACGACGAAATTTACAATCTCTAGGCAACGTTTGACAACCATCCATTGACGTCATGATGTCAAAGAGTTTGAACCACTTTTCCGTCACAGTATTTAAATAAATTTTGCAAGGGACTACCAATTTAATTATAATTGACACAGATAGACATACATCTCCGTCCGCTACATAGCATGTAGCTGACCCTACGAACTCTGTAGCATCAAAAAATCAATAAATTCTGTGCCAATGTCAATAACATGCACAACAGTATGTGAATCTATGCTCTTGCTTGATAATCTCACTTTGACAACAACTAGCACACAGATAAATATAGAATTATACGGCACTTTTACTCCTCAAAAATATGGCCATCATAGGAACAATACCCACAATACGTTAGTGACTGTTCCCCAAAAGAAGCGTGTAATTACAATTTACTACAAAACGAAGCAGTTATAAGTCTGACATGAGTTATGTGAACCACTTCTATCGTTTCCGATCGTGCGTTGGCAATCTTTTAAATGTAAATTTGTATACGTGTGGAAATTATATGACATTGAGATTTGGATCGTTAACTAAAGCAAGGTTACCTACACGATTGATTTTTGAACCTCGATATCTGTTGATCGGAAATTGTAATTTTCCATGAGACAGTTTTGTCATACCGCCAAACGCAATACTGGATGTCCAACCACAAGGTGGAAATATAAAATAATAAAGGTCGGAAGGAGAAACTGGATACAGGACGGTTTTAGCTAGTCCATCAGTTATAAGCTTCTGTTTGGCAGTTGATGACGTCCGACTTTCTTTTGAGGGAGAAAACCATCGTGTTTTTTTTTTTTATCGGCCAGGGTGAGCAAGAGGGAATGTCAGACTTTTACTGACTAAAAACCACCCCGTTCCTTCTCCTACCCCAAGCCGAGGCCGCGGTTCCTTATCGCGCTTGCCCCGTAACACAGGCTACACATCAGCCCTGTTCGACCCCATCTGTGGTGCTCTCATATTGACTCTTTAACGCCTTAAAGAGCGAGCTAACGTTCCAAGCGCGCCCGCTTGGAACGCTTCGCAACGTACGCTCAGGATTTCGTTCTGTTCGGGAGGTGAGCTACCCTCACTTGCAGAGACTTATGAGAGAGATGAGAAAATACCAAGGGCTTATGTGCAAAGGATGATGTTAAATAACAAAAGCTGTATCTAATAATCTAGCTGTTAGGTCTTAATTTTAGAAACATTGTTCTAAGGGATAAGGGATGTAGTAATTGTAACCACTCTAATAAATAGGGTATACAAATTACCAAACAGACTTCATAACTGACGTCACATTCAACTAATCAATCTTATACTACATATTATCTGGTATACAAAAGTTTTAATTGATCGATCATTAGGAAGGAAAACGCAAGTCGGAAGTTACTCGATAGATACTTATATTTTTTATTTGTAGCCGTTGTTATGTCAAGCATTAAATAGCCCTTTTTATGCTCAAGTTCAATACGAAGGTCAAATCACATTATTGCATATGATTTTATTATATTATGATCTTATGTCTGTCTTGTCTTTGATCTGTAACGGTAGTTTCTTTGTTTTCTATTTGTTTGTGGTTAGATAATTTTTTTGCCAGTATAGCCTCTATTTTTAAATATTACCTACCCATGCAAGCATAATTTATTTTGGAATAAAATCCTTTTCCTACTTGTTATTTGGTTCTTTTTTCCTTGGTTGGTCTAGGTGATGATATGATACCATTTTCAAGCTAAATTTCTATACGAAACTAAAATTATACTACACAGATCCTTGAAACTAAATAAAAATGAATAATGAAAGACAGACATCGATAATTTAAATAGTAGATATGCAAGTGGCCAACGAAAATAAATTAATTGGGCCTAATTAAATTGAAACGTGAGCGGAACCACAAACGGTGGTTAGTACAGCGACAGTCACGACAGCGCACGCGCACACAATAAATAAGTTCAATGGTACTAAACATTCTAATATCCTGTTCGGTTCTTTGTTCTCTACCGATAAAGTGTTTAAAGTTATTGCAAATTGGTAGGTGCTACATATGCAATACAAGTTAAAAGATGAAATTGAAGAGGACGATTTTGCAATACTGACCCTTTTTACTTGTTTAGGACATTCGAAATGAATAGACATTAAACAACACTTAAGTTATATTTTGCCGTGGAGTGTGGGCCCAAATTCAGTTTTACTCACTCCCTAACGCTTAAAAGGCGTTGCAATGCCATGGTCGGCACCGATGTTAACTTAATTTTAAGCAATAGGCAAAGCCCATAGACCTGGAAATCTAGATCATTTAACATACAAAAATGTGATGAAATATATAAATGATAATTTTGACAGTATTTATGTCACAGGTACTGAGGACTGATATGGTAGCTAATGTGGTATTTAACTTGTCATATGTATAATATTAGGACAGACCTTCGAAGCGAAGCTTCTTCATAGCGTACGTTAGTTAGGCAAATAGTATTAATAAGCCGTCTTCTTATTAACAATACGATCAAAAAAAAACATATTAGATCAGTTCATTGTACGAGTACTGACATTGAAGATAAATAAAAATAATATTCTATCTATTACGTTATTTAAAATATTTAATGTGCTTACTCTAATTTAAAATTATTCTACTATGACATTTTTACTGTATTAAGTTATTTGCAACATTCGAATACATGCAATACCTACAAGCTTGTTTGATTAACACTTGCAACGAAGCACGTTTTAGAAATATTCTTGTTAACCTCTTTAAATAAATAAAGTAGTAGTTATTGGGAACATGATTTCAACCTATGATCTTCCAATTAGTAGTAGAATCCATTTATTAATCACAAATTACTTCACGCTATGACTAACTTATTCAAACATACTACCACAGTCCTGATTAAAATTACTGTAAATGCAAAAGTATTGCTTCGACTTATCTAAAGCATTTGACAATGTTGACCATCAAACCTTTGTCCATAAATTGTATTATTATTATGTTTATGCGATACAGTAAACAGGTTTGCACCGTATCTAGTGTACAAGTCGTGAGTAAACTGTAGTCGTTAATGGGAATGATTTTAAGAAATATGTATTCTGATTTGAGTACATTGATTGAATTGAAAATGAACTGCTTAATTAACCTAATGTATGCAATAGTAGCCGTTGTGGATAGATTAGTACAACCAAATCAAGTTATGCAGAGGAAATTAAAATCAGAAGCGATTTTATCACTGATAATTTTTGTCTTTATATAAAAAGTTGTTGGGTACCACAGGGCTCTAATCTCGGTTCCATGGTTAAAATTTCAAACAAGTTGTTAATAATAATTTATGTAATCATTAGATATGGCTAATTAATGTTAGTATTAAGTCATTGTTTGCATAGCCAACTTTTAAATTGTATAAATAATTCAACAGATAAATCGTGCTTAGTGACGATTGATGATTTAAAACGGAAAGCTTATTTATTTTAATCTCATACATAAGTAGCGATGAGATTACATAATAGCGTGGTCTTGCGGTTTTAAAGAAAGTTGATCATTACCTAAATGCAAGATTTTACTGCATCACGTATGTTAAAAATAAGGAAGAAGCGTCGCTTACTCACGTTAGCAAAAAGTTTATTTTTATCTGAGTCTATACTTACACCTATACTTATGATAACAATCATACGTAGAGCTGTTGGATGACTATGTCAAAGAAAGGGAAGGATTCTACTCAAAGTACCAGTAAACTTTCTAAGCTACAATACCTACGCTATTTAAAAAAATGATATGATGCATAGGGATACAGCAAGCTACCTAACGACACTTACTCATATCCACTAGGCCACTGAAGCATGGCCTTAACTTGTGGAAGATTAGTCGTTTCGTAACATGACCTGGATCTGGTGACGCACCTTCGAGACAGCGAGTGATGAAATTATGTTGTTTTACAACTAATAGTATGCGCGTGAACATCGATGTGTTGGTGTTAGTCGAACGAAGCGATACAAATTGCTCTATAATTTCTTAATTTCTCATTCGGACTTTGTAATTGCCTGTCATAATTTGATATCTACATTTTCATAACATGTGTGAGGAATTTTTGATGAGGCTTTTTGAGAATTGAGTAATCTAAATCAATTTCAATAAACTCGATTTTGTTTTTCTAGAGTGTTTAAATATATTTTATCCAGGGCCTACGCAAGATGGTGGGTCCACCAGAATTGCAACATTTAAATTTAAGCACTAATAAAATATGTACTTTTTGTAATTTTCACTAGCATCCGTAAAGCATAAATAGTAAAACGTTAGTGACTCCCCTTTGACCATATCTTAACATTTATTGTCACCGAGCGTTCAAACTATTTTATCATGTAAAACTATTGTGTCAAACTCAAGTTCATTTTCATCATATTCTTTATTGTATTTTCCAGATTCCGGCCAACCTTTAGTTACACCTCTTCAGGGTCCAATCCTCCTTCGCAACGGGTCAGTTCCAGTGGTGCCTCTGACGTCATATCGGACGATCAACAATGGTTCCTTCTACCAAATTCCTGTAAGATTTTCGTTTCTTCCTTCTTCATAATTTCATCTAAAATGATAAATATTCCTCAAAAGGAAAATAATAAAAATTACAGGAATTAATCAAACATTTAAGTAAAAGCAATTAACAATAACTTAGTAGGTAAAGATAAACTATTATTTGATTTTTTGGAGTTTTCTAGGCATTTTGGGTTTTTCTGGGGTGATTTATGACCAGTAGGTAAAGGTGTGATAGAGCTAAGATGTCTGTTTACCATTATGCTCTTCATATAAACTGTACTGGCAAAACGTCATTCCTAAACGTATGCAAAAACAATAAATCAATCAAATTCGCTCTTTAAAATTTCATTAAAATCTACAATGGATAAATAGTTCGTGTTAGCGTTAGCACAAAGGAGTAATTACTGCGTATTTTATGGCATACGCAAATATACAGTAAAGGCGACTACACACGGTATTATACTATTAATATAAGCATAGATGTTGAACTTTACTGAGTCGAGGTGACACGAAGGTTAAGGACCTCTCTTGCATAAGGGTTCGAAATTTGACAAGGACTACTTGATGACTTTTGCAGAGTTATATGGACTTTCTAAATTTATTTGGATGCTTCTGATCCATGGTGAACGAAACCATCAAACTTATGAGGAAAACTGGGCCTAATATTTTTAACTAGCTTTTGCCCGCTACTCAGTTCGCGTGGAATAGTGATTTTCGGCAGATTTTTGGTATAAAAACTATCCTATGTCTTTCTCGAGTTCCAAACGGTACCGAATTTCACAGAAATCAATTAATTAGTTTAGGCGTGAAGAAAAGACAGATAGACAGACAGACAGACAGAGTTACTTTCGCATTTATAAATTTGGATTACAAGTCAGATCCTCAACGATCATATGTGGTGATTGAAGCTCAAATCTTATCCGTATTAGAAGAGCTGCTCAGCTGTGAGTATATACTGACTGATAATGCGATTTGATCGTAAATGTGAAAACTTGCTCCAACACTAATATCAGGTTGACCAGGTAATTCAATAAATCAAATGACAAAATAACGTTTCTCAAAGGTCTAGACTACTCAAGAGTAAAATATTCGTTTATTTGAAATTGAATAAGTTAATAGCTCTTTACGAGATCAGAAGATCTAAACTAACTTATAATGTTTTTATAATAACTATCGTGAGACATACTAAATTAACTAAAATTCGCGGGTTACTCACGTGTGAATGTTGAGAAAAGCTCTACTAGTTTCGAACCACAGAGGGGTTCTTCCTCATGAGCAGCGTGCGCGGACGCGGCGACGTCGCGCAGCCTACTAAATAGGTTTGATTTGGGCGAACTTCGGCACTACACCATTATCCCGACACTTCACTATAAAATCTAAACCACATTCTAGTTTCTTGCGTCTCAACCTCAAACGCGTAAACTCTTTTACTTTTTCTAGCCCTACCGTCCCGTACCGGTTTGCTATGTTTTTATAATAACTATCGTGAGACATACTAAATTAACTAAAATTCGCGGGTTACTCACGTGTGAATACTGCGCGACGTCGCCGCGTCCGCGCACGCTGCTCATGAGGAAGAACCCCTCTGTGGTTCGAAACTAGTAGAGCTTTTCTCAACATTCACGCGTGAGTAACCCGCGAATTTTAGTTAATCTAACTTATAATGTTTAGCTACCGCATTATGTGACGAATATACTAAGACTTTTTTTCTAATAAAACGCTAAACCACTTTAAGATTTTCTCCTGTGCATAGGTGCGTTTACAATCATACTATTAAACATACACTCAGACCCAAAACAACCACTAGTGGATGAAACCAAAAAAAATCATACGGAGCTACTGCACTCACCAATTAGTACAAAAAATGAATGATCCGTGTGAAACCGCCCTAAGAACAAAGCTACGTCTTTGAATTATTTGAGCAAATGAAAATTGTCATAGCTGGGTTAAACAAACCTGCATTATTTGAGTTTAAGACAAAACAAATGATTGTTTGTCGCGTTTCTGAAGGCTTGAGTTAAACAAAATATTGCCTAATGCATAATGTACTCGAAGTGGGCGAGGATTTGTACCTAACGGTTTATTTAGATGTAGGAGTTATGTTTCCTGGGTTTTCATATTTACGTTTATTGACAATTTTAATTGTATTTATACGTAATTTGTGATTCACTCCGATTCGAATTTATCTTTGGGAATAATGTGTTGTCGATCTTAGCAGTAATTTTCAACTTATTTTTTTGACTCAGCTTATGGACTATAGTCCAAAATTAGTGCTTAGCCAGACTTGAAGACGTAGGAACGAGGCGCTTTAGTTAGTAAAAGTCTAACACTCCCTCTCGCCTCATCTCCTCAACAAAAAAAGTCAATAGATGCTTTTCCCCCCTCAAAAATGTGTCCAAAATCCTACGCTATTTAGACTAGAATGGATACACTAATCAAATTACTTGATATCTGAAGTTTGAAGTTAAAGAGTTTGCTTTTTGTTCGAACACGGAAATAAGTCTTTTATCGAGGGAGCCGAGAAGCGGGTGACACTACACCATAAAAAAGTCTTAAGATTTTTAAATCACTAGCCGTTCTGTAAAATCGATGAGAAACAGAAATCGAAATACTTTACACCCTGTCTAATGTAGGTATATCTCTAAGTAAATTTACTAAGACAAGACATCTGCTTAAGTTAGTCATGACCTACATAATTATCGATGAATTACAACTATGTGTATCGATAAAAACAAAGGCAAACTATAAATAACGAACTTCATAACAATCCTTTATTTGTTGAGGCAACATTGTGAAGTAATTCTAACTACTAACGTACATTTCAGAAATATCTATCTTAGATGGTGACTGGCAACAGACGGAATGGCGTCGATGACTGCATTTCAGGTTTCTTTTTTAATAACTCTGAATAAATGAATGTCTATGAGGTTACAGTTGCAAAATTTATGAATAATGGAGATGTTTCTGTCACACAAAGTCTAGAAAAACCTTGGCTGGAGGATGTGATGCATGATATATTGTTCGCATCTATTTGCATTTTTTTTACAAAGTGGAGACAACAAAATTGCAGCAGTCCGTGTCACTCCCCTGCGGAACTAGATCCTTATCATACTTAATAGGGGTTTGCCATAATCTCCACACTTAAGTAGCATGTTTTTTTTTATTGTGCATATTCGTCAAAATTCCTTCTATCGCCACGGGTGGCGCAAAAGTGAGTGTCAGACTCTTACTGACTAAAAACCACCCTGTTCCTAGCGAGACCGCGGTATATTATTACGCAAGCCACGCACGCCACGCAATCCCGGCTGAACATCTGCCCTGTTAGGCCCTATCTGTGGTGGTCTATTAGCTCTTTAAGACGCGCGCCAAACCTACGCAACGTACGCTCGGGTCTGGTTCTGGTCGGTTATAAAACATACCTACAGAATATATGTGGCAAAATAGTAGAAGGACATTCAAGTTTTAAATCTCCGAAATCTACTAACTTTGGTTCTTGCGGTCTGATGCTGCTAACCACAACATGTTCCATTTACCTACTGACTGTACCAAGGGCGTCTCTTACGCAATCAATGGCCTCCCTTGCATTCAAGTGAATTAATGTGTGTATTTCGCAATGTCTGTAGACTGCTTTTACTCGTTGATCCGTCAAGTTTGTAGGTCCGTTCATCCGTTCATTGAAGCAGATCTGCATCAACTATTTTTTAGAACTTCCTCAAAAATATTTTTTCATCAAACCAATACGTGATACCAACCAACAAATACAAAACAAGAAATATGAAAAAAAGCAACAAAAAAACACTTCAGAGCGCAAATGGCTCGAAACCACGAGGTCTTTCTTTGAATAAATCTACAATATGTAATGATATTGAGGAGTATAATTTGTTTAACTAAATTAATTGCCCGAGAGACACGTCAATTGTACCTATCAAGATGTCCTCCCCTCTATTATTTCTAAATAAAACAATCATAAAACTAACAAAATTATCACGCAAACTGGTTTGAACCACCGAAAATTGCTTTGAACGAGATCTATCAAAAAAATGTTTACCACATCATAACTTGTATAATTTTATTCAAAGGGAGGGTGTGGTAGTTGGTATGAGTCTGACAATATTTCTTGCTCCACCCAGGTGCTCCTACGTTCGCGCTGTTTCACCCGTTGCTCAGCTTCCACTAGCCTATAGCCTTCCTAAATAAATGGACTAACAAATACAAAAAAAAAGTTCAATTCCAACCAGTTGTTTCGGCAATTAGCGCGTTCAAAAAACAAACAAACTTCAGCTTTATAATATTAGTAGGTATAGATTAAACCCACAAAAAATCCACACTTGTATAAGGCCTTTTTAAACGACTTTTTACATTAAACTAATGGCATTTACTTAGTTTACTAAAAATCTTTTCCTTTCATCAAATAATTCGGAAAGTTACCCAAAATGTTTCATCAAACACTTCATACATTTAGTTTGTATTTGTATGGTATTGTGATATCGTTTACTAAACAAAGTATGCGGCTACGTAATGTAAAGGTGCTAATTGCATGTAGAAACACCGTCACAAGTGCAAAGTCAACACCCGAAGTGTGGTACAGTAATGCTTTGCAAAATACACGGCACTTTGATCCTAATGGACTAATCACGATGCTCATAACTGATTCACGGTATAAGCAATTGTGAATTTTCTGTCCATTTTGTGCAGTTGCAAATCAATGTAAATATAATGAAAATTAGCGGTCAGCTAATAAGGCAAAGGACAATGGTTTTGTCTTTTTTAGGCGTTTTCGATACCCGTTGGACGCCACGGGGGACAACATGTGGGCCACGCTAGCGGAGGATTTACCCTCAACAGCAATCTGTTGGCAGTCAATGGCTTAAGGGTGCCCAACTTAAATGTTCTTTGTTGAATTAATTTTTCTTTGTAGTTCTTATATACGTTTTAATACATATTATAGTATATCTATATGCACCAATGACGATATAATGCACCAAATATTCTACTTGGGTTACCTTCTTTTTAATACGCATGTCTTCAAAGTCTATCTCAGATTATGGTTGGACGGGAACGCTGTTATAGCATCGGTAAGACCCCTGTGTGAGGAGTGGCTTGAGACGCCATGGCATTCTCTCCTTCTGCCGGACGCAGGTTCTTACCAAGCACGCAGCTTCGGTGGGTTTCTGTTTCGGATCCGGCGGGAGGAAGCACTCGAGTGCGGTCTTAACGACGCGGCGGTGGCACTAGCACTAGATCGCTCGATTCCCTATAATATGGTTGAGTTAGGCGGTGCTGGTGTACCTACGTGTCATATTCATGAAACATTAGTTTTACACTGATCTTACGTAATAAAACCGACCAAATGATGTAACAAAGAAATGAACTGTCCATAAGAATCTACACTTTGGAAGCAAATAGCTTCACTAGGGGACAGACGGACAGACTGACACGCATAAAGTTAACCTTTTGGAATTAATTTGATGATTCGGGAGAAATTATTTGATGACTTTCCCCTCACAAAAAAAGGTTAAGGTGGGTTAGGTTTATTATATCAAGATTCTCTAATATATACACCTACTCTAATGTATTAGAGTAGGTGCGTGAATTGAGAATCGCACACGCCCTAGTATTTTGTCCGTAAAAAACTCTAAAAGTATATTATTATATATTATATTTCACCAAATAATAAAAGGTAAGTATCATTGAAAGTCAAATCATTGTTTAATATTTATTAAATATCTAAATTGGCCCTATGAATAAGCCTCAACAATATTGAGGTTGTTTCCACGAAACAAAATAAAAACCAAGACTTCTTAACAGAAAGTTAATCCGCACTATATTTCCGATACAGCCATTATTTATACGGTGTCTTATTAAAATTGCGATGGCGTAGGCTTAGTGGAAGCGTTCGATATTTCGATCTAAGTCTACATGAGTCACAGGCGTGGGCACCTTTGTCGCAGCGATAAAATATAAATCGTGACGAATTTATATGATACAAGATATGCTGCCACAATTATATACAACCTTATTTGACTACCATTAAGAGCTTAGAGCGTTCACCTTTCCTTAAAACAATTGTCATATCTCGCAATAAAAATACGACGTGCACGCGAATCACGTGCATTCATATTTTACTTACCTACTTTGCTTGTATCTGTACCGTTTTATTTTTTTAAATTTGGAATTAAACTTTTAATGACAAACTTGTAAAAAATATTTAATTCAATCATAATTATAGAACCTATGAAGGATCAAATGTTTTGTTAAAGAAAAAAGTCAAATTTAGAGTTAGTTTAGCAGTAGAAATCTACATAATTTTAGCGCAACTATTGTAATGGTAATTTATTCACGAAACGATATTCATAAGCGCAAATTACTTAATGGCACTGGCGGTACATTAAGTTTATCTGTCGGTGGCGCCACTAGCGATTTGTGGCCGAACTGATACGCTTCGTAGGCGTTGCTGATGGCGATTATTTAGCACCAAAATCAAAATGCAAAAGCTTGCTACACCTTCGTCATACCGACAGCGACATATGTATGTGATTGTATAAAATTTCTTAGTTTCAAGTAAATTGCGTGAGTCACATCGAAATGTCATTGGCGAACGTGCATCGAATGAACACGACGACGTGCAAGCCAATTGTATTTCTGTCAATATGGCCAACGCTTCACCGTGTGCATTCAAAATATCCACTTTAAAGTAAAGTGTCGAATTAAAATAATGTTCTACTACGTAATTAAATGAATAAACCATTAACATGACATTGCATACGTCTCGTTTATGCAAAAACTAAGCTGTATTTACCTAGTGCTTATAAGCGTAAATAGTTAATTAAGAATGTAATTTTACGTTAATTAAGTATCTTCAACCATGCAGGTTAGATATACGACCTTCTTTTACAAAACCATAGCTACGAAACGTACCAATTTATTATATATTTACCAAAACTTATATGGTTAATTAAAAAATAAAGAAATAAATAATATTTTATTACAGTTTTAATGATCAGTAGCTAATAACTGACTAACTAAACGTCTAATTGCTGATTAAATAGGAAGTTGTTAGAATAAAATTTATTGGTAGGTATGCAGATTAGGTATATTCACATGTGCAAACCAAAACAGACCACCGATTATCAAATACCAATAAATTAAGAAAAACAAACGTGCCATGAATTTTGCAAGGAATAATCTTGCAGGTGTTAGATGGCGCCAAAATTGAAGCAAAAAAACTTAAACAATTGAACAGTTTTGTTCTAACACATATGAATTTTGCACCTACCTACTTAACATGGCAGAATATTGATGTTCATTTTTTTGCCAGACTGGTTTATTTAATTCAAAAAAAGAACGAACACTATTCGAATGACGCCAATTCGAATAAAACCTGAACACAGTAGACTAAAAATATAATTATGTTCTGTAAGGCTTATTTTTAATCTACTAACACAATACTTAGTAGAAAAAATACTCTCAATGTCTATAAATCAAATACCATGTAACATGACAAATCGATTACCCATACCTATTTGCTACCAAGAATAAACTATGTATTTTAATTTTAAATTAATACTGCACTAATAACCCGCCAACTTATCTACAAGGCGATAAATATCTTCCAACATATCTTACGATATAAAAATTAAGTAGCATTCATGGCAGTACGCGTATTGCAAAAAATAATTAGTGGTTTTTTGGATTACTTTATTTGACCTTTGTGCGGTTGTAAAGACATTAGAATTTAAATGATACATCTGGGAATATTTCTTATAATGAAACAAGACTATAAAACACTTTTCGTAACATCGTAAAACCTCGCGGTTTAAGCGGTACCGTATACGTGCTCAACAATTGATAATGATTCAGTTACCAGCTGTTTAAAATGAACTATAAAGGATATTAATCATTTTGGAACTTGGGACGCCACCGCCATTACACGGGCGCCACGATTCTCTTACATTTTTTGCTTGTAAAGTATGTAAATTTATTTCATTCCTTGCAAGGTTATTGACATAGTTGCGTCTAAAATATGCTGGATAACTTTAGAATTGCTAAATAACGAGCGCTTGCTAAATAAATGGCACGATCCAGTTTCCCATTTGTATTGCGCAATCTAAATTCGCTATAAATCACAGCAATAAATATGCATGCAACATTTTTTTATCATCTTAATATGATAAAGTAGTATATTCTTGTGGGAGATTCAACATTCTGAGCGAGTATGAACGTGTTTTGTGTCGCTTTGAATCCCAATGAGTATTTTATGTCAGTCACATTTTATGCAAAAACTAGAATAACAATGGAGAATTGTAAAATTGAATATATATTTTTTACTTTGTAAGTACTTAAGGTTTATATTTCTATCGGAGTGGCGGAAAACTTGAGCTTTTTATGTAGATGTATCACCGGTCGTATCTTGAGAACATAATCCGATGTGGTAAGGTCGCGTATAGTTGAACATGTTTTTTTTTCTGCTTATTGTTTTTATTTGGAATCCGTTCAGTTAATTAGTACACTCTGCAGTAGCAGGACGTATTAATTAAAACGCTAATCTGGTACCGGACATGGATTTGTTCTGCTTGAGCGTGAGTTTTGTTTTTATTTGTTTAGTCTGTTTTACGGTGGGAAAATCCCATTATTTGTTTTCCATATATTTTTTAAATATTATTATTTTAGTGGCCAGTTTTACTACCTTTATACATTAGCACCCCGTAAACTTTTTTGTGTGGCATGTGTTAATTCAAATTATGTTCTAAATTCAAATTATAAGTGAAACCTACACCTACAGCGCGACTATTGTGAAACTAGTCATACAAGATACTTATTTTTTCTGTGTAATGTGAAGGTATAAGGTAAATTATTATTATGACAAACCCTTTTATTAAAGAACAGACCCATAATAGGATTTCCTGGGTTCTTATTGATGATGATGGTAACAAGCCGGCAAATAGTATTTTAAAACTACCTACCTTAAAGAACCAATGTAATGTTTAATTGCTTTCGTAAAATAGATGAAGAATTTACATAGTTACTAAATTCCATCATAATCTTAATATCTTTATATAAATACTAGCGGCCCGCCCTCGCTTCGCACGGGTCCAACTATCTCGCTATCAAAGGGTCACTTTTTCCTAATCTTGCCCTCTGCTTTTCTAATATTTTTCTCTTCTGATAATCTCTTGATAAGAACCTTCTCCTGACAATAACAAACACAACAAAAAAAGAATTAGCAAAATTGGTCCAGGCGTTGTTGAGTTATGCGCTTACCAACACATTTTGCGATCCATTTTTATATATGTATAAGATAAGATAAGATGTCATTGTTTGAAATATGTTCACGAATTATATTTTAACTCGAAAATATTACCACAGTATAAATAAATTACTGTGATATTACCGATAATTGTTGAAGAAAATTACGAGTATAAAAAGGTTTTACTCTCAATAATTTCTACGGTAGGTACTTCGAAATTAAATAAAATACACTGAGCTAGAGCTTGTAATAGATATCTCTTATAATATCTACGTATATAAAACTAGAAAGATATACTTAATACAATTTTGTCAATTTCAACTGATTACTTATATCTTAAGTTATTTTATTTAGGTACCTTCGTAAAAATCAATATGTTAAAACTTCTTTCTTACAACTTATTGGTGTGTCATTTTTTTTTTGACTATGATATGATGTCAAAAATTAAGGATTTTTTTAATCTGGCTGGTCTTATCATGTGCTTGTTCTTGGAATTTCATTGTTATGTCTATTAACTTAGTGTTATTAAATTATTTTCAGATACTATGGACTGCGCTGTCGTTAGCGTTGGGCTACGAGCTCCAAGGTCAGATCATCCGAGGGGTCCCGTGCGTGAAGCGTAACTTTCAGCTGTATTGTCCAACAGCTGGCAACACCTATCCATTGTATGTATATATGTAAAATGTTTTTGTTTCCATGTTCTTTTTCCTATAAAAGTTTGAACTAGAAATTCTATGATTTAATATAAAAAAACTAAAATTAAAAGAGGAGTACGGTAGTGTCCTTTTTGTTGTGTGGCTTTTGTTTTAATCGATGATGAATAAATCCTCTTTCATCTTGTGAAAGCTATTTATTGTTAGGGGCTAATATTACAATCGCTGCACTGGTCGGATTTCAAAAATTCTTTCACTAACACATAGTTACAAAGTTCCTGAGATCATAAATTATACCCGATTTGCGTATTTTAGTCAAGCTATCGCTTTAAACCCTTCCATTTTTACAAATTTAGGAATAAGTACATTACTTTTATACGCGTGCGAATCCGCTGGCTAGGAATAAATAAAACCAAATCTAACTCCTAATAAGTGCCTCAAAATAGAATTATTAATTTTAAAAAAATCTTAATATTCCAACGAGAGAATGTGTCTAAATAAATGTATTAATAAATCCTTTTTTTATGTTACAGAGATAAAATAGAGAACTTCATAGACGAAAACAAAGCTTTAATAAAGCGGATGTACGGTTCGTTTACGACGCCGGCTGGGAACCGGGTGAGACGGGCGCCCGGGGTGCCTGATATGCATGACGCTACTGGTGACTCCTACTTCAGACACGCACGCCAAGCTACCAATACAAGATTACCTGATGCGCAATCCGTCAATAATACTGGCAGGTCAGTTTAAGTTTGACATTTGATGTGCTTTTTGAATTAAATTGGAGCTCATTCTTTTTTTTCGGCGTGAAGAAGCTAGAGAGATTAGTTATGGGCTCAGTTGATTTATGCCCTACTTATCCGATCACCAATCAAATGTCGTAGCAGCCTGAATGTTAGGGCGTCCACTTCTCAAGCATGATAGGTTCGAAGCCTGGCAAGTACCAATGTGACTTTTCTGAGTTATATGTGCTTTCTATGATTATTTATAGACCACTGGCAAACGGTGAAGGAAACCTGGACTTACAATTTCTAAATATAACTTTGAAATCCCCAATCCACCTTGAGCAACTTGGTAATTAATGCTCAAACCTTCTCCATGTGAGAAAAGGCCTTTTTTATCAGTACCTTAGCATTTAGAGGCTGATGATGATACTTATCCGAATCAAGTATGAGAATATTAAAATAGGTATGGGCAATTGGAAAATAATAAAATGGAATTTAAAAAGGTTTCATAAGAACTAAAGTTAAACGGCATGAATAAAACAAAAGGTGTTTTTGATTTCAGAGTGGACGCCTGCGAGAGCAAGACAGAGATAATGACGCCTTATTGGGCATTAAACTCAGCGAGAAAGTTGCGCGCAATCGTCAACACTATGCATTTTGAACAAGCGATACATCAGGAAACGTGCAGGTAAGCTATGACGCATTCAGATGCAACAATTTGCTTACGTAAACTGAACTTTAATAGTTCGTTTGTAAATGCTAAAGTGTTTTTATCAACACTTGCACTGGAACCAAGCCAAGTGACAGGAATATCAAATAAAGGTACTGCAACCGGCAACTAGCATAATTATGAGGTTTCGTAGTGAAGTTATCCTGCAAAATGCAGGATTCATCCGGAAGTTCAGGCAACTTCCGGATTTACATTAAGACGATTCTTCATAAACCATCTAATCGAATAGTTATAGTCCCTGTCCATAATTTAAAAATTATTCATCACCAGAGTAAAATTTCGCTAATTTCCCACTTTCGTGAAGGCAATCCATTTATTAGTTTGATGGGTGAAAAGGGAGAAGTTGGTACTTTACTCTTAAAGTAATAATTTCCTAGAATTTGAATTTAAATTGATTTACCAACAACTATACGTACCTACTTACTACGTTCTGCGATATTTACCCTTTTTAAAGTAGGAAAATCATCGAATGTTGAATTATCATCATTGCGCCCTAGGTAGGGTGAGAGGAAGTTCAGACTCTTACTGACTAAAATCCAGTTTCTAGTCCTTCTCCAGGCCGGGGCTGTGGAACATTGTTGCGTTTGCACTCCCAACTAATGACAGTTTCTGGGGTACAGTCTAACGGTACTTACCAACTACGGTAAAAATATGTCGTTGATTAATCTTACCTCAATTATTATCTTTTCCAGTAAAACGACAACAGCGAGGTGCACACGTGACTGCGGATGCGAGCAAAAGTACAAGTGGCACAGGCTCCTCGCGTATGATCCCAACGACGACTGTGCAGGCATATTCATGGATTGGTTCTTATTCCCATCATGTTGCGTGTGCAGATGTAATCCTTGATACCTGCACTGAAATATCATACCCATCACACTTATTATAAGGTCTTAAATTCAAGACTACATCGTACACTCAACCTGCTTAAGTGCGCAGTTTTTGCATATACCTATGTAGTTAGCTTTGTGGAACAATTTACTTAAACCCACATTTATATCAAAGTGGAAAACGGTTCCTAATTTTTGGCGCCATAATGCTTCACAACTTAAAAATACTTTTGGAATTGTTTGATTAAGTGTCGAGATTAAGAAAATCTAGAATTATCGATTATGGACGATCGTATTCCAAACCTATATAGTTATTAGGAAATTTAAGAATACGAGAAATGTAATGTGTTATCTATTTGAATTTATTATCTACGATTTTACTTTTCCTTCATAATTCCTTAAATGGCGTCAGCGCTCTTACTTTTTCTGCCAGTCACAATTTCTACACAACTCATCCTCATATAAATATCTAAATAAATCTGATAAAAAACCTCAGTTTGGCCTAATACTACTTAAACTTTTTGAGTTGACTAGAATTTGACAATGTTTAAAAAGAAATTGTATTTTACTTACCTCCTGTTGGCAGTTTGTCCTCAGCACTTATGTCTTCTAAATATTTAGGTGTTATAACACCTTCCTATAATTGTAAGAATAAACTTTTTTGCAATGACTTGGCAATAAAACCATAAAATGTGTTTTTAAGTACCTACTTATAAATTTGGTACAATCAAATACAGATACATATCGATCTATTCTTCAACTTTTACAACTGTTTAGGAAATCACGATATTGTGATTTGTTAATGAATAAGTCACAACATTTTTGTATATTCTTTTTCGTCATTAAATTTAATATTTCACGTTCTGTTCTTGATTGTATCTGTATTATAAAACTTCATTAGATATAATAAAACTAAATTTAATTTCAAATATGGAATGGAACACTGCCATTGTTTAGCATAGTAAGTCTTTCATCTATTTAAAATGCATAAAAATAATTGATTTCTTCTAAATGTTCGATAATATCGGTTTTGCAATTAGATATAGGTATAGATTAAGACGTAGATTTGATAAGAGCCTACTTAATACCTTGATTTTAAAAACAACTACTAATATATCTTATAATTAGGATAAAATTACTTGTATTTATATTTTCATGTGTAAAACGTAAGTATAGAGACGGTTTTCCAACAAAAAAAGTCGATCTCTATTTTTTAGCAAAAATTCTACTGAAATCATAAATATTTTGTTATAGCAACATCGTTGGAAAGCAGCCTAAGATACTCAAATAAAATTAATAAATAAACTTTTATCTACATTTTGAATATTAAAAGTGCAATGGAATTTCATTCTTTGGTTTTATTTTCATCCTTACATTTTTAAAGGTTTTTAAAGAAATCAAGATCAAATCAACTGAGGACCTTTGGGGACTATCGGTGAAAGTCTGCGGATCACTTATCCGAACTTTAGCGCCGTATTTGGCTTTGGTTTTCAATAAAAGTATAGATAACGGTGTCTTCCCGAACCCTAATGAAAGACAGTAAAGTTATTCCATTATTCAAAAATGGTGACACTAAGGAACCAAACAACTATAGGCCTGTGTCTGTTCTGCCGGTTCTTAGCAAAGTGTTCGAAAAGTTAATGCTATCTCGGATTCTTCATCACTTTGATAAACATGCTATCTTCAATCACCAACAATGCGGTTTCACTAAAGGTTGGTGTTACAACTGACGTCGGTGTCACTTTGATAAAGGTGCTTGGGAGTCAAAAGTCAAAAATCATTTATTCCAATTAGACCTTTACAGGCACTTTTGAACGTCAAACAAAATTTAAAATAAAAAATAGTGTCAGTCTGTCGGTCAGTCCTCTTAGTGAAGCTATTTGCTCGTTCCAAAGTATAGATTCCGATGGAGAAGAACGAGCAAGAAACTCCATGGTTACTCTTTTTAAATCAGTTTCACATACAGATTCCTTTTACAAACAGTTGGTTCAATTATGTGAGAACAGTGTAACACTAATATTTATTCAAATATAAAAATAAAGTAACCTTAAGGACAATAGACAGTCCGGAGCTGACCAGTCCCAACTGACGGCGCTCGTTCACGAGCATGACACGTACACCAGCATCGCCCAACTCAACCATATTATAGCGAATTAAGCGATCCAGCGCCCATGCCACCGCCAGTGTGACCTTTCAGTGAGCATGACAACTCCAAGCTGTTATAAGGACCGACATTCTGCTAGTCTAACCAATTATAATAGGTTACAGGGCACTCACATTTACAAATTTATCAAGTTATAGTTATACAATATAATGCAATTTCACTAAAATGAAGAAGTCCCGTTCAAGCAAAATCCATTGGAACGTTATTTATTTTGGTGTAGGTTTGCTATCCTGTGGAGCAGGACCAGCATGTCTCCAAGCATCTTTATCTACAATGTAATCATTCAGTGTGTAGTATGCTTTTCTACATAAAGTTTTCTTTACACATAATTTAAAATTTCTTTCATTTAATTGTTGTATTTCGCCTGGGATTTTGTTATAACATTTAACACAGAATCCCATGAACGACTTATGTACCTCTGCCAATCTAAATAATGGCTGACATAATCTATCTCTATGTCTAGTTTAATAATTATGTCTATCTGACACCTTATCGAATATTTTTAAGTTTTTCCTGACATACATAATGTTTTCATAAATAAACTGACATGGCACGGTCATAATATTGATCTCTCTAAACTTTTCTCTAAGCACAGGATGCTGTTGGTGTCTCTTGCTTGATCATGCAACACTCTTGCTGAAATTAGATCATTCCGGGATTAGAAATACTGCACTCCACTACTAAAATCATATTTAGAGGATAGGCAGCTGAGGGTTCATGTCGGTGGTTCTAACTCTCGGGGCTCTGAGATAAGAATGGGCGTTCCGCAGGGTTCAATATTGGGTCCGATTCTCTTCTTAGTGTATGTTAATGACTTGCCATTTCAATTTAAAACTGAGCCAAGAACGGTGGTGTTTGCAAATTATACATCATACGATTTGGACGAAATAAGCAGATCCATTCATCACGTTCATATTTGGTTTACAGTCAATAATTCGGCACTTAACGAGCAAAAAACAAAATGTATATATATTGTGACATAATTTTAAATGGGAAAAAGTTAGACTGTGTTCCTAGGTATTACGCTAAACAATAAACTTCAATGGGGTTCCCACATAAAGACGCTTTCGGGAAGACTAAGCTAAGCTGTTTTTGCAGTTAGACAGATTAGACAGCTCACAGACGTGAACACTGCAAGGCTTGTCTATTTTAGCTATTTTCACAGCATTATGTCGTACGGAATTTTGCTGTGGGATCGAGCTGCGGAAGTGGATTCAATATTCATTTTGCAAAAGCGGACTATCCGAGCGATATATAACTTGCCCTCTCGTGAATCTCGGAGAGAACTATTTAAAACGATAAATATCCTAACGGTACCTTGTCACAATAAAAGTTGTTACAATAAAATTCCAAGAAGTGTATTAAATCTTAATGAACGATAATTTAAAACTTATATTAAACGCGAATTGTGTAGACAGGCATACTACAAACTTTCAGATTATATTGAGGATAAGAATGCCTGGCAGCATGTTGGTTCGGCTCCACCGGACAATACTCAAATATGTAGTCAGTAGTTACTTAAATTCTCAAAATTAATGAAACCTTGAATGAGTTTATATAGAAGCATTCTTTTGGATTGTGAGTACGCATATGTGAGCGCCATATTCGAGACGACAAAGGATTAAAATTTTAATGATAGATACCATCATTTGTTTCTTTTGATTAACAACTTGCCTCTGCATTGTTCTCACATAGGGGTACAGTAATGTATAAAAAATGTATTAAGTATTAGTAAGTTTTTTTTAAAGAGTGTCGATGGAGTTTCTTGCTCGTTCTTCTCCATTCGAAACTACAATTTGGAACGAGCACCTAGCTTCACTGACGAACAGACTGACAGACTACTATTCTGTTCAAAAGTACCGTACTTTATAAATAGATAATAGATTATTAGACCTATTTATGGTACCTTTTGAATAGATAGATTTGACTTATTTATGGTTTAGTTGGAATAAATGATTTTGATTTGATTTGATTTACTTTTACTTGGAAGCAGGTAAGTGTAAGAAACGCAAACGAAAGTGTTTAATTGTGAAATAAAAATTACTTACTGTTTGGTTGACTCCTATAGGTCCATTCCATAATGACGTAATAAATAATAAGCAGGGTCCCTTTTTTTTCTTTGTAAAATAAATAGTGGAAACGCTATAGTTATTGACCCCTATACACATAGTTATTGGCCATTTCAACTTTGACGGCCTAAAATAAGCAATAGCCTGTCAGAATAGCAGATTTACTCGTAAATCCGTATTAATGACAACACTTTCTTTTTCTGTCAAATAGGTAGTTTTCACAAAATTCCGCTAGGTGAACGAGTTGACGGGTTCCTCTAAACCGTGTGATATTTTGGCGGGAGGTACCAGGTAAGTAGTTTTCTAAAAAATATATTAAGACTACTCTTTTTAATGTTATAGAGTATATGTACTAGTGCCGTTATTCATTCATCAAATTCTATAAAATAGTCACTTGTTATGCGTTATAAACAGATTTAGGGTAAAAATTAACCTATTGATCATACCCTTTTAGAGGTATGAGGAACAGGGTGGTAAGTTCCTCATCCTCCATTGAAAAGGGAGGATCCTCCGACCAGGCGAGGTGTTCGTGCCTGGCGGGCTACTGCCCGACGGTTGTTGTCGGGATATCTGTATGGGTGCTAATTGTGTTGGAAACTCTTATAGCGCGATGTAGACTCTTGCTCGTGATTGGTGCTGTTGTTTATGTAGTGCGCTAGATGTCGCTACATCACTCCCCTCCGAGACCGGAGGTCGTTAGCTGCTTGAGACGTCTGTGAGATGCTTGTCGAGCCAGTTGATGGTTTCAGTGCGTCGAATCTGTCTGCGAAGGTGCCCCAGTGAGTCGGGTGGTGCAGTGCTGAAGAGTGGCTAGCTGATGCGTCGACCAGGAGAGGGAGTACGTCTCTGCTTGCTGACCGGCCGGTGCAGTATGCTGTGCCGAAGTTTCTGATAAGGCTGTAGGTGCTGAAGGGTGGCTAGCTGCTGCGTCGACCAGGAGAGGGAGTGCGTCTCTGCTTGCTGACCGGCCGGTGCAGTATGCTGTGCCGAAGTTGCTGATGGGGCTGTAGGTGCTGACCAGGAATGCGCGTTGGCTGCATGCTGGTGGTCAGGGAACCCGTTGTAGCCGTGGAAGCTGGCTGACTGTAGGATTCGCTGCTTGAAAGCTCGAGGAAGTGATGACGTCATGGCTAAGACGTAGTTGCACGAAGGCTGCGTTGATGTTCATGCTCGGGGTCACCAGTTTTTAGAGGTATGAGGAACAGGGTGGTAAGTTCCTCATCCTCCATTCAAAAGGGAGGATCCTCCGACCAGGCGAGGTGTTCGTGCCTGGCGGGCTACTGCCCGACGGTTGTTGTCGGGATATCTGTATGGGTGCTAATTGTGTTGGAAACTCTTATAGCGCGATGTAGACTCTTGCTCGTGATTGGTGCTGTTGTTTATGTAGTGCGCTAGATGTCGCTACACCCTCAAAATTTTGTAGTAGCCAATAGCTGACACAATTATTTGAATAGCTTATAGTTATTGGCCACCTGTGCCAATTAACATATTTATGAAGAAATGAATAAATATCGTTATTAATGAATAAAACGTCTTCTGCTATGATACTAGGCAACATATTAGTATTCAATTATTATTTTTTCATCTTTGTGAACAGTTAATGGCCTAGGCCAATAACTGTGTTACCTATCCGTAAAGATAACTTATAGAAAAAGTCAAAAAAGCCAATTACTGTATTTTTTATGTAATTTAGTTTAACATTTTTTATCAGGTTTTTGAAGAAAAAAAGAGAAGAATAATGCCAGAGATACCTTAGTTCGAAAGAGGCGCTTGACGAGGTTTTAGAAAAAGTTAACACTTACACACACATATATTAATGTGATCGCCCGCAGCAGGACTCAACCGATATATAGTAAAAGTACACTACGATTATAATATTGCAACAAACGTAATTTTTTCTTGTGAAAGTAATGTGACGACACTTAGAATTACATTGACCCCTACAAAAACTCTTCCTTTCACCTTCCTTCGACATTCGCCACTGTAACCATTTTGGATCTCAACAAGTCAATTAATGATTATTTACATAATGCACCTAAAATAAGAGAAAATTTATCCGAAACACGGAAAACACCTTTGTCATTACTTCCGAGAAATTTGGATAAGATATTTAAAAAATATCAAGAAAAACAAGAAAAAGAGAATCAAAAAAATGGAGAGAGAAATATAAAGACAGGAAAAGCCGCTGCACGAATAGAAAATACATGGAAAATATACTATTTATAAAGACAAAAAAGGTAAAGAAATAGGTAAAAAAAATTATGAAGATGGTATTAAGACTGACAATACTGATGACAAAAACGAAACTGAAATTGAAAACAAGATGACGCTGAGCTGACTGATTTTGTGTGCCATAAATGTTTTTTTTATTGAATGATGATGATTCTGAGTCTTTTGAAATTGAAGATCTCCAAGAAGATTTGTTTAAGTTTTATTAGAATTGTTTAAGTTTTGATTTATAAGTATTTTATATTTCGGTGTGGCCAATTACTGTGTGATCTCATGGCCAATAAATAACTACAATGTTATGGCCAATTACTGTAATTTTAATTTCATTTCAATTTTAATTGAGTTAAGCATATGTAAGATGACCAATCTAATAAAGAGATAATTATGAAACCATATGACATAATTTATATCCTACTGAAAGTTTAAACTTTATTCAAAGTTTTATTTGGTCTTGAAGTTGCTTAAGGGGCCAATTACTATACTGTTTCCCCTATTATTGGGAACCAAAGACAAAAAAAAATAATATTCAACATTCAATTTATTTTTCTATTTCAACATAAAACAGTTCTGTATATATATACATATGGTTCTACTTATAAATATATTAATTCGAAGATTCGTTTAACGGTCCGCCCGCCTTCTCTTTATTTTTCAGTTGTTCAAATTCCTTAAACACCTTTTCACTTAGTTTTTCACCTTCATCATCAATTTGCTCAACAGCTACCACTTCTGGTATATAAAATTGCATCATATTTTGCACCTGTAAAAGAAAATTTCATATTATAAAATATAAAGTAAATCTTTTATTATGTCATAGGTTGGCAAACGAGCTGACGTATTACCTGATGGTAAGCAATCAGCAGTTATAAGGTGTTACAACAAGTGCGTTGCCGTTGGGCTTCTTATGGGTTATTAGGGATTTAAGGTTAAGGCATTTGAAGATTGAGGATGGGGGGCGGGGGAAAGAATTGGGCCTAAACTGTAACCTCAATCACACGGCGAAACACAACGTAAGTGTTGCTTCACCAAGCCCAAGCGGCTCAACCAGAGCTCAACTACAGCTTACCATAAACTGACGTGAAACAACTTCAGCTTTGTTTCGTTGCGGGTGGGGAGGCCCAAGTTTATGTATCATCGGCTAATAATTCATGTATGTTATTCCACTAAACAAGTCTTAGAAAAGCAGTAGCATATAGATAGTTAGCAAAATTTTCAACTTCAATATTTTGTACAAAATATACATATAATACCTACAGCGGCTTGTATAATTTTTCAGAAGCAAAAGAATAATTACAAAAAAATACTCACTCCATTTTTGAGAGTGACAATTGAGCTTGGGCATGAAGAACAGGACCCTTGCATTTTGAGCCTTAGTATGCCATCTTTAAAGTCCACAAACAGAACGTCACCGCCATCCTCCTGGACTGTAGGCCTGATACGAGTGTCTAGAAGCTCTTTTATCATTTGAACTATCTCATCATCATCTTCATTTATTTCTGGAACATCAAGATTAGTTTATGGTATAATATTTTTTGGTTCTGCAGACTAAAACATCAGAGGTAATGTTTTTGGAATAAATATGTAACAATTGCTAATTTTCTTCTTAAGACTGTACAGCTTAATAATCAAGAAGTATATTGGAAGGATCTTTAACTGTGGCGCAACAACAATATTATTTTCCATTAACTATTAATTTTATTATATTGGGTTAAAAAAGGCAAATAGAATGTAATGTTTAATATCATTCTGAAGAAATAAAACTCTAAAATAAAAAAAAAGGGGCTTGCAAGGTAAAGTTTATCTTACGTGTATCTCCTGATGGTTTAGCATCGATCACGACTGGTAAACCACTGGCAAAGAAATCCATAATAGTTGCAAAAATGTCTGGTTTCAGAATTCTCCAGTCAACATCGTCATCTTGTTTCGTAACAGTTATGAATTCAGGACCGAAAAACACTGATTTCACTCCATCAATGCGAAATATCATTTTAGCTGAAATTCAATCAATATAGTTCAAAGTAAAGATGACTAGAAAATATATGTAAAAAGCAACATTATTATAAATAATAGTAATCTGTTTACCTAAAGGACTACATTGAGCAGCTCCGATGTTAGGGAAATCCATGGTTTGTCCTGATTCTAGTACTTTAACACCAGGTAAGAACTTTAAACTGTTTGGATTGGGAGTATCTTGTGTCTGAATGAACATGGTCCGACAGACACAGTTGTTGATTAAGGGAACCATTTTGTTAACATTTCTTTGTACCCCTAGGGATATTCCGCTGAAGCGCTTGATGCCATTTTGGCTAAAATGAAAAACGACACGTTAAATTTGTCAGATGCTACAAGTGTATACATGGGTCACTTGGTTTTCAAGGTGGAAAAACATGGGAATTTTTTTCCGAAATTATAATTTTATTGCATATTTTTATGGAATTCTATGATATTATTGTCATGCGAAACCATATTCAAGCTAGCAGTGCCAGTGTATTTGTACCTAATGCAAATATTTGTGGAATTTTTGCAGAGTGTCAAACTGTTTATTGATAGATAAATTATTTTTACCTTATCGAAGCCGCTGCGCATAATCTCGTACATTTACTACTAGCTCTATTAATACGTATTAAACTTCTCAACATCGTTGTTTGTTTAGTATGATTTTGTTCACAAATTTAGAGCCTCTATTAATTTAAAAACGACAAAACATTTCAATATCAATTAATAAATTGGCGAAAACGTAACGCGTGCGAAAACGTAATGTTTGTATGTGTATGACATGACATTGACATTTGACAATGACAATTTTACTGACATTTGACAGTTCTGACATTATTAAAAGTAAATGATGGTTCTATAGGTACATTTTCTGCCGCCAGGCAGCTCTTCGTAGGCGTCAAGTCCAAATAGCTGTTGAATAACACAGCTTTACAAGGAACGTATCAATTTTAGCTACATATATTTGAAAGTACACATTGTTGATTTTATTGTGGATTACATTCAAACGAAAGGAATCTTTTAGTCAGTCTTTCCGTCCGAATATAATTTAGGTGTCTCCAAGGCTAGAGTGAATAGGCTTTTAATAAACTAGTGCGCCTTACCATCAACGATTGCATCACTGCTTACCATCAGGTGGGATCGCAGTCAAGCACTAGATCATTGCAAGTTAAAAAGAAAAAAGGGATGGAGTGGATGGAAAAGAGAGGCTGCGCTGGTACTAAAGAAAAGCTCATTAAAACATAAACATACAATTTGTTCCCACAAATTGTTGTTACTAAAAAATGTAATTAAGTATAAGCACAAAACATTTATTAAAATAATAGAAAACTGAATATCCGACAATTTGGACCAACATCAACCACCTGAGCAAGCAGGTTTCCGACGAGTTTCTCTACTACACCTTCATACCCTCACTCAGATAATTGAAAAATACAGTGAATTTAAACTCCCACTTTACATAGCGTTCATAGACTACTCCAAAGCCTTCGACATGGGTGAGACATCCATTCATCGATATTTACAGCTTTACATAAGCAAAACATCCCAGTAATATATATTAATCTACTAAAACATATTTATCGTAAAAGTACTGCAGCAATCAAGCTACATAAGTAAGGCCAATCCTTCACTATCCGCAAAGGAGTCAAACAGGGCGACCCGTTATCTCGTTATCTCTCAAACAGGTTTTCATTTCTAAAACGTTCAGCAGTGCTGGATCACGCAGGTCATCGGGGAGAAGAGGTTAACAAAGCTCCGTTTCGCCGGTAACATCGTGTTCTTCTCGTCTTCAGCATCAGAACTAGGCAACATGATCAACAAACTTAGCAGAGCGAGAATTGAGGTGGGACTGAAGATAAATATGTCGAAGACCAAACTAATGACAAAAGGTTGGAAGTAGATAGAGCAGAAATTGCATACATCAAGGAATATATCTTCCCGGACCAACTAGTTTCTTTCCAGGCGAGACAAGAAAAAAAAGTTACTCGTCGTACCGAGAACGCTTGGAAGGGCTATTAGTCCATGGGATAGGTACCTAATGAAAGGCAATCTTCCCTTGGCGCTTAAAAGGAAGCTCATGGACGTGTGCATTTTGCCAATTCTCATCTACGGCGCTCAAACCTAGTATTTGACAAAACATCAGAAGTCCACACTCAAGGTTTGCTAGTGAGCCATGGAGCTTAGCATCTTAGGAGTTCGATTAACGGACAAAATAAGGTATTCCGTACTGCACTTGAATACTCAAACCGCTGACGTTGGTCAGAAAGCCGCAGGCCTCAAGTAGAACTGGGCTGGACATGTTTGCCGCATGTCAAAAGAGCGGTGGGCAAAATTTACTACCGAATGGAGCCCACACAACGCTAACAGACACCGAGGCAGACCCAGAAGGAGATGGCGCGACGAACTTGATGTCTTCGACGAGGATTGGCCGCAAAAAGCTTTGTGTAGAGAGGAGTGGAAGAAGGGTAGGGAGGCCTTTATTGCCCTGCAGAGGGACGATAACGGCTGATAAAAAACAAATGAAAAAGTAAACCAAGTAATGATCGAAATATATACATCGTGTGTGTTTTATCAGGAGATTGGCTACGACGCTACAGACGTGCTATATAAATACATAGAGACGCCCCAAGTGTTAAATAGCGCTAACTTGACTATACAAGATATCAATCGATCCTGAGATATGAAACAACTGTTTGTCTCTTTTTAAATATCTCATTTACAGAAAGAGACAACTGGCTGTTTGTTTCTTCCTTGCCTGGTAACAATTTCCTATTAATTTTGAATTAGCCTTTTATTTCATTATTATATTAATATAAATTTGTACGATAGTTATCCTAGTTTACCCTAGTTTACCTTTCAGAATTACCTTTTATGATTACCATACACACACACACACTAATCTAATATGCTAGACCACCGCTGATCCAGAACTTTCAATAAACAGCTACTCATAACAGCTACACCCGTAACTTTGGCTGGGCGCCGTCCCTACTGGGCTTCATTTAATTTTGTGGATGGTCTAAAGACTCATCAAACACTCGGGGTCAAGCGCCGTACTACCATTATTGTAATTTTCCACTGAGCGCGTCCTGTTGTGGCTGGGGCGTGAGGGCGTTATCTGAATCTTCAGTGGTGGAGATGGCCTCGCAGTTTCTCTCACTCCACGCTGTCAGTTATTAGAAGTCAACGCCACTGATTGGTTTTTGTAATTTTTCTCCACAGAAATTTTGGAAAGACCATCTAGCTTCACTGACGAACAATTCAATTTTTAGTCGAAATGAATGCCTTTACTATGACCAAAATGAGACAGATGACGACATATGCTCTCCCGTGTCTTCCAACGCAAACTACCTACCGTTGACAAAACATCATCGAGGTATTCCGGTCATTATTCAATGATAGGCTCGGGAGAAGGCGACTTACCACACGTGTGATAACCTTTTTTTTTGTCAGGGAAATCATCAAATGACTTCTACCGCCCAGGGTAAGGGGTGAGAGAGTGTCAGACTCTTACTGACTAAAAACCCCACAGTTCCTTCTCCTGGTCTGAACCGACGCCACAGTGACTCGTTGTGCTTAACCCGCAACCCCGGCTGAACATCAGGCCTATAGGGCCCCGTCTGTGGTCTATTGGCTCTCTGAGGCGCGCGCGGAACGCCACGCGCCATTCGCTTGGGTTTGGTTCTGGTCCGGACTTACGGCGCTTACGGTGGCCGGAGATCACCTCTCAATCCCCTACGACGCCTGGAATGTCACCTACTGCGGCGGCTGGGGTGCAAGAGGATGATGATGAGCTGCTTTGCAGAAAGAGGAGACGGCCTTCCACTTCTAATTGCTACGAACCATGGCCTCGACTGAGGCCGGGTGCGAGAGGTCGCCGTCGCCAATCACGTCCTCGAGGATACGGCGGTGCTCAGCCCAAGTCGCTCACAACGCCACCGTATGCTTCACCGTGTCCTCTAGGTGGTCCTCACAATGACGACACTCGGGCGTTTCCTCCCGTTGGATCCGAAACAGTAACCTACCGAAGCTGCCGTGCCCGGTAAGCACCTGCATCAGGGGAAGGTGAGGACGCCGTGGCTTCTCTTAAGCCACTCCTCAAAAAGGGGTCTTACCGCTGCTATAACAGCGTGCCCGGCCTTCGGTTGCGACAGTCGTTGCTTCTCTCACCTTCGTCTCACCGGAGCTCATTCCGCCACGCACTAATTTGGTGCGGCAGAGGATCCTCGCCCCGGCGACGCGCGTCTGCGTGCAAACTAGTAATCTGTGGTGCAAACTGTAGACGCGAGTGAGCGCCTTCCCTTCCAGATCCCACGGCGGTGATCCGGCACCTACCGCTTGTTGTACTTGTTAGAAACTTTTTGTGCCACGCCTCGATATGAACGTACTTAAATGAGACTACCCTAGAAAATGTTACGCTAGACATTTGTAATGCTTGGGCCACTCTAACAGGAAATGTTAAAATATATCGTGATAATTGATGGTATTAAACATTGAAAAATATACCTACCTACCTAAGTAATTTGTTTAGTGATCAAATTCCACCTACGAATAACGTCCGTTATAGCGGTAGTAAATGGCATTTCTCATTAGTGTGGTAAGTACAAGCTTAAGTAAGTATAATAATAACAAATAAGACATTCTTTTTTGTTTCCCACCCACCACTTACTGCACTGTGCTCTTTGTGCATGTCTGTGCTTAATGGAACGATTGTAACAATATGTTTTGTACATCTGTGGCTAAGACCATAGAAAAGGATTCCTCCATGATCTATGGCAACATTGTTTTATCTTTGACATTTTAAAATAAAAAAATATTCTGCCAGATTCTACACGCTGAAAGGTAGTTTGTGAAAGTATTTGTTAGAAGTTTTTAACAAATTGTTATAAAGAAGGCAGAAGGAAAATATAGTTACAAGGTGAGATAATATCATTTTATTTGATGAGTGGGTCATCTTAAGTTTCATTTCAGTAAAATAGAAGTTGAAATACCTATTGTTTTATTCAACCAAGAAGTTGTTTAGGTATGCATTTACTGTGAATTCTATTGAATCGGGCATTTTATCAGATAAAAGGCTAATTAGTGTCTAACTAAACTAAATTATAATTCTTTATACGTTGCTTTAATTAATAGATACCCAATTACAAACTGGTAAGTATTTGCCTGTTATTTTGTTTAACGTAGTATTTTTATTGGAAGCAATAATGCTGAATGTTGCCTAATTCCACTAACCATGCCATTTTTTGTATTGAAGTTACAGCCTTTATCTAAATTTTATGCAATATAGTGTAATATGACATGTTTAAACTTCTTCCTCCACTTTTCCCGCCCGACGACCTTCCAGGTTTACCTATACTACTCTTTCTTAGTCTTAGTACTATTTCTCCAAAAATTTCACACACGGTTATTACTCCAGCTTAATTTTATTTATAATTTTTACCAAATCACTTCATCATCATTTCCAGCTTGTTTCTGTCCAATACTGAATTAGAATTTGGTATCCTTTACTATGTTACTGTTACTGATACAACAAAAAAAAAACATTTTTCATATCCACCAAATTATTAGAACTCCGCCCCTAAGACGACCCACTGACCGAACAGGGTTGAACAGTTTGATGATGAGAATAGTGCTCAGTACACATACATACATGAAATTTTGGAACAAACTTGACCTTAATAAATAGAGAAATTACAATTTTATTTATCATTGTCATAATCATTATCAGCCACTGCTGAGCAAAGGCCTCTTCTAACACGGAAAAAGTTTGAGTATTAATCACCATGGTTGCTCAAGGTGGGTTGGTGATTCAAACTTATAGTTAGAAATTATAAGTCTAGGTTTCTTCACAATGTTTTCCTTCGTCGTTTGTCAATATTGTTCATATGAAATCAAAACCTTTTCAAAAACAACCACTAACAGAATAAAATCATAAATGTGTGTTAAAACCTACCTAATCTTGTTAGTTACTTTGGTAAGTAACACATTTGTGTTTTAAGGATTTCCTACTGATTTTTGTCTGGATGTCTGCCTTATCAAACTGTTTTTATTGTAAAATGTAGGGTTCATACTTATTGCCTCTTCAACCATAACAATTGTCACTTCCAATAAAAATATTAAGACCACAAAATACACTGGATACTAGTTTTTAAATGGATATCTATTATGAAAACATTTTAAAGTGCACCTGAAAAAATATTTGATCGAGAGGTGCTACTATAATTTGACAGAATTTCTAAAAGATTCCTAACATTATGACATTTTACTCATCTGTTATTTCATTGGTTCCTTTAGGTTTTTTTTTGTGTTTATGTTGAAATATTCTTGTAATGCCATGTAAAAATCAATATATTAATTTTAATTGTAGATAATAAATTTGTATGCTGTTAGCCTCAGCAAAATATGAAGGTTATTAAAAAAAAAAAGAAAAAGAAAAGAAAAGAAATATGCGTCTTGTCTTGTATACTCGTGTTTTACATATAAATTATGTTTATCTTTATTTTTATCGAAATAGATATTGATACTATGAATACTTCATCGACTTAAGGCTTTTCCCATAGCATTTAATTGGGATCATTCTTCAGCATTTCACATTCAGTTATCTATCTCCACATTCACACATACAATAACTTATTCTCTTTAATTTTTTTTTATTGTTTTAGTCTCAATGGTGATTTAAACATTCTTTAAAACTCCAACATTAAAAACAAGTTGCTAAGAACACACCTTCCATGTTTCTTTAAAATGCTGACTTAGATAACTTATTACAAGGTTGCATTTGTAGTGTTGTGAGTTGAGTGAGTGCAACATTGTTATTGCAGTGAATAAAATTTGTTGAGTGTGTGTTAGAGAGTATCAGAGTACTTAAGCTACTGTGTTTGTAATTTTAGATTATTTTTTTTATAAAGTATCAACATGCAATGAACAGGCTTTACGGTCGCTTATGCGCTTCACAGTAATATTATATTTGCGAATTGCGCAGCTATAGCCACTGTCCGTTTTCCACTATGAGACCATGTATTACATGCACGAGATCAGCATCTTGCAGATGGGCATTGTCAGCCGGATGCTGTCTTCTCGAGGAGACGGTACAGAAAAGAGTCTCCAGGAGATAGCAACACTGATGAAAGGAGACTGACTCGAACGACATGCCCTAAATCGTGGCGAAGAATCTGTACAAGCTGCCTAGACTGAGGTGCAGCATATGTTAGAGGCGTCCAATAACACCATCAGTGAGCTACGAGTAGAAGAACCTTTCTTGTGTAACAACGTCACTGCAAGTAGGTCACCTACCAACGTCTTGCGGGCCTCAAAACGCCTCCAACCGGAGTTTTGAATCGGGGGGCTCGAACGCGTCAACCGTTCAACTGTTGAAAATGCATGCGTTGCGATATGTCCTACCGCCGTCCCTGCCTCGACATCGGCTTGTGTAGGTTTGTCTACTCCCAAACGACCGACCCTATCGAAACCTAAAAAGGTTTTGAAAAGCCATGGTCCAGAGAATTTGAAAAGGATATGTCGAAACCATTGCAGCACCATACTGGCAGGACCCGATATGTTTTTGCGTCCGCCCTCCGAGATCCCGACGACGCCGTTGTACATCTATAGATAGGACCACTCCACAAAGGTTGAGGAGATAGTGGAGTGCTGCATGAAGACCAACTGGACCTTGAGGGTCGAGAAGTCGGATTGGAGTCATTACACAACGACTTAAATATCAAATTCAATCGCACGTGGTATGTTTTCCGGCAGATTACCTCGAGAAGGGTTTTGGCCGAATGATGTTCCGTTGGTTTTCTGGCTGGCTAGTGTCACGCACCAGTCAGCGAAACACGACGCCGATACTTCGGGTGCATTAGTTTTAGTTGTGTTATTTTATATTTATTTACAGTATTTAGTATTTTTTTCACGTAGGTATATAAACGTAAAATAAATGTATTAATGAGTTTTAAATTGATTGTTTTAGTTGATATTAGCCCTAGTTGCCTGAAATAAAAGAATAATTAAATGAATTAGTTTTTTGTTCTAGTTTGCAGTTTAACATGTCGGATCAATTGAGGGGCCGTGGGCGAGGCCTGGCCTTGCTACAGGCTCTGAAGAAGACTCAAGCGAGTTCATCTTCCGATGAAGCTTCAACGAGCACGCCTGGAGCTAGTGTAGCCCCGAGTGTAGTGAGCGAGTCTACTTCAAGTGTTGCACCTAGTGTAAGTATCAATGTGATTATGTTCCACCATAGCACATCAGAATTTTCATGGATTTGTACTTAGTACTTGTTATTGAAATCTATACCATATTGTCACACACTCAAGTTATATTTCTGTTTGTTTTCCTTTCGGAAATAGGTTGATAGGGTACAATAATGTGTATTAAATAATGTATTGCTGAGCTTGTAAATCATATATTTTTTGAAAGAGTAACATTAGAGTGACTTTCTAATTATTCTCAATTCAAATCTTCACTTTGGAATGAGATGGATGCTCAACGCTTCAATGAAGAACAGACTGACGGACTAATATTCCATTTTGAAATTTCAAAAGTACCTCTGTAAAGTTTTTGTTGAAATAATTATTTTTTGACATTGTTTTCCACTTGGTTAATCTATTTCTTATGTTTATTTCACTTTTTTGGTTGTCAATACATATTGTCTTTATTTTGCTTGTAAAAATTTTTTAATCTGAGATTTGTTTAAACTTTATAGGCTCTTTCATCTGCCTCAATAAGTACAGGCACTACAATTGGTGGTAGAGGCAAGATTGCGGCTATGCTACTTGCAAAGGCTAATGCTAAACCAGGAGGTAAGCCATTATCATCATATTCCTATCATTATCATTTTACGAACATACTTATGTATGTGTGTAAAATTATGAAGCAGATGTCTTTAACACGTTAGCTGCCACGTAGGTCACCGGTGACCTACAGTAGCGGAGGATTTATCTTCAATAGTTTTCTGTCGGCACTCAAAGGCTTAACGAATTGAGCTGAAATTTTGTAAACATGTTTAGTTTGATTGACTATAAAATAATGCTTAGTTAGTGTGACTTACCGCAGATCCATAATGTGTTTAAAGTGGTCCCTTGACTAACTGACGTCATAAAAGCTGTTTTTAAGGTTTCCAAATATACTTTTTGTCTAAAACCAATTTTCCTCAAATTACCTTTGTCAAATGAAGTTCATAACCTGCTGAATGAGTGCAGTTTCCATATTGTGTATTTCCCTATTCTGATCAGTCATCGAAAAGTTTAGTCTGTGTTTCCCTGGATATAAAAACGTTTAGTGGTATGTTGTAGTTGTAGGTACTTCCTATCGATAAGAATGACATAAATTCGTTTCATACTACTGTGTGTCATATATAATGGTCGACCCAATTCTTAGCGAATGAGTAGTTTCCAGTTTAATTAAAAATAAATTATTTGAATAAGTAGTATAAAATTAAAAAAAAAACATACTTTTAAATGTTGATTTGTTGATACAGTCAATTTTAGATTGTTTGGGGCTTATTTTTAAGAAACAAGATGGTAATTTCACATATTCGTATTTCATAGAAGAGAAACTTTTCACATTATGGATTAAGTATCGAATTGGACTTGTCGAAGTTACTGTATTGATGTCAAAACAAAAATATTATTAAAGAATAGTTTAAGTAATCCTATAACGTCTCTAAGTACAACAGTTAGCTTTGAGAGGACTAAAAATTCAGACACATTAGCAACTTAGAGTGTGGCGTGCGCCTCAAAGAGCCAATAGACCTCCACAGATAGTGCCCAACATGGCAAATGCTTAGCCAGGGTCCCAGGTCAAGCGCAATGAGGTAGTGCGGCCTCGGCCTCGGCCTGGCAGGAGAAGGTACGAGGGGGGGGGGGGGATTTCGCCAGTAAGAATTTGACACTCTCATTCATCATTCATTCATATCTTGGGTGAGAGAAGTCAGTAATGTTTGACGAAATAAGAATTGCTTGGGTATATTTTAGATTAATATTTTGTTTTTACAGCTCCACAATTTGTTCCGGCTAGTGACGTCAGTCCAACACCGGCTAAAGGCGTTGGCAGAGGAATCAAGCTATTACAGTCTTTGTAAGTATCCATACTTATACTATTCCAAGGTTTATATTTTTTACATTATATGGACTCTATTGATCATAATAATATAAAAAAGTTTGTATATGTAAAAGTGTCATGGATACCCCATAACACTTATATTTCCATATTTACGTTTACACTTGCTATTCTGTATTCCACAGAAACTTGTGCCAGGACAATTTCGCTTGAATCCTTTTGCCTCTTTGTCTTTGATGTGTATGACTCTTACTTAATGAAACTTGACTTATTTAGCCTGTAATAAATATATAAACTTATATATATTAGGAATTAAATAAACATAGGCCTTGTTTATTCAGTTTCTAATATATAAAGTTTTAATCAATTAATTTCAAAAATCGTTTCAATATTACTAATTTATAAGAATAGATGACCGCTGGGGTAAACGTGTTCTAGAGTGGAGACCACGTCTAGGCAAACGAGCTCAGTGGCGTGCAATTGGGGAGGCCTATGTCCAGCAGTGGACGACAACAGGCTGATGATGATGATTACTGACTTCTTGAATTCTTGATAGTGTTGTGTTTTCCTTATTTTTTATTCAATGTAAAAACGTCTGTTGTCTCTTTAACTTTTTTCTATGTACCCTGGGTTACATGTGTAGTTACATAAACATAATTAGGGATAATTATGTGCCTACAATAGATTTAAAAACATTGTACTCATTTAAGAATCTTTAGTTAAACTAAGCATGTATTGTTTTATGTTTCAATAAAATCAAATACCTAATATAGAAAACTTTTTAATTCACAGACAAGCTGCAAAGGCTGTCAGCGCCGCCGGTGATAGCTCACGGTCTGAAGTATCACAGATCACAGAGAAAATGTCCACAACAACCATAACGAAGCCGCCTGACAGTACTCGTACGAAGAAAGTTTTTGTAAGTACTAAATGCAGTGATTGCCATGCTCGAGGTCAATGAATGAATGAATGAATGGATGCTTTTATTAATTTTTTTAAATACTTAAAAAAATAATACATAGGCCTACAAAATTGCTTATGCTGCTTAACTATGAGACTATTGAGCTTCTATTACATTAAAATAAAGTTAGCTAACGTTAACGCGATTGACATGTTTATGTATGACGTTTGACGCTCTGATTGGCCCGCTCCATGTTAATGAACCAATCAGAGACCAGAACGCGGTCAAGTTTCGTTTGCGCAAACCTAGTCTGTATTGTATAATTATGTCTATAGTATATTCAAATTAAATTGTGTTACTATAAATGTAAAAAAAAATTAAATAGTGCCTGATGTAGATCAGGCACTATATTGCCGTAGGGCAATACACATTGTAATCTATTACATTATATGTTATATTACATTAAATTAGATATACAGATTGGATTATCTATGTAATGGTTTTCCCTCGTGATTGGTTCTTTGCTTGCTATTTGACGTAGTTTGTATTCGCAGTCATCCCTACTCTGTCGCCAAGCGCTCAATATCGGTTCGCGTAATTTTTGACAAAATTAAGATCGCTATGTACTTCTTTTCAGCGCGAAGTAAAAGACACACCTCCAGTCGTAATGAAAGGTGTAAGTGGCACGCCAGTAGATGTAACAGCAAATTACATTTATTTGCAATTCGAAGAGAACAGTGTATACGAGTATGAAGTTAGGTTCGATCCAGAGCAGGATTATATGAACTTGCGCTACAAACTTCTTGGTGGTAAGGCTTTTTTATACATTACAAAAATAAACCTAATTTTTTAGCTGTTTAGGTTTATTTTTCAGTAAAGTTAATTGTTTTGTGTAATATAAGGTTTGATTTAAATGCTTAGAAAACCTAACATAACGTAATTGAACTGATACATTCTATAAATTTGCTTTCATTGATTTATGAAATTGATTTAATTGTTTATGAATATAGTTCTAGGAAAAATGCCTAGGGATGTTATGTTTAAGTAAAATTGCATGTACTTTGTTACAGAACACCACAAGTACTTCCCAAACAAAACGTTTGATGGTACAACCCTGTATGTCCCACATAAACTACCCGAAGAAGCTCTCAACTTGGTGTCGACCAATCCTTATGACAGTAGCAAAGTTAGGATCACTGTAAGTACACCTACCTACTCTCTTAATAACTCTCAATAATTTTACGGCTGATTCACATAGATAAAATGTTTGTCGAGGTAACTACCTCCTCCACTCGTATGGAAGATAGAAATTTTTAAATGTGGGAAAGCCATTCTTCTAAGGGAGAGGATCCAAGGGGAAGGATAGGGCCTCCGGTTGCCGCATTCTCACGGCGTACACAACGTTGCAGTTGCTTCACGCTAGTTTTTTGCAAGGTGACATTACTCCGGTCACACCAACCCATTAAATTTGTACCAAAGCATGGTTCTCCCACAATTTGATGGAAAATTAAAGAAAATTTAAGAGAATGTACTTACTGAATAGCTTTGTAAAGGAATTTCGATATTTTGGTTGGTTTTTTTAGGCAACACCGAATTCTATTGGTATTGGCAGGCATTTGCATTTTTTTTAATAAATTATAGTCAAGCGCAATTTAGTTCACGAATCGCGTCATGTGCTAGTGCAAATTTTTTAATAGTTATATCTGAACCGTGCTTTGTGTATCTGCAAATCTTACATTTAATCAAGTTACCTTTGGCATGTTGTACATAATTTTTTATCATATTTTTCTTACCTTATTTATTTATCAAGTTAATTTCTACCCAAACTCTGTTTAACAACAACGCTGTTTCTTACAGATAATATTCCGCAGAACACGTCGCTTGAGTGAAATGATTCACATCTACAACGTGATATTTAGGAATATTATGAATGATCTACAACTGGTCAGGATCAATCGAGAACACTTCAATGACCGAGCAGGTATACCAATACCTCAACACAGATTGGAAATTTGGCCTGGGTATGTTGAAATTTTCTTTCATTATCATAACATACTTCACTTACCCCGGGTGCGGCAAGACTTTTAACTATTTCTCACCAACCCAGACTCTAAATGACCAGAAACCTTCTCTTGCTCTGGACTGAGGCCGCAACAGCTCTTGTTGGTGTAGGAGTCGAAAACAAAATACACACATTCTAATCATGTCCTTTAGAATGGCATTCTACAAGTTGTAAAATAGCTAATCAACCGGCCTCTGTCTCAATATCCCCTAGTCCTTTGTGATTAACGAGTTGGTATGTAAAATAGGTGTTAGGTATATTTAATTATGTAGTTTTCTTTTCTTAAAGGAATAGAGTTTGATACTATTTATAGTATTATAATGCAGTCCTTTTAAGGTGCATTAGTGATTGCCAAATAAATAAATTCACTGTTGACTAAAAAATAGTATTTAAGGTTGAATGTTTTCTTTTTTAGCTATGTGACAGCAGTGAGTGAATACGAAGGAGGTCTAATGTTGACCTTAGACTCTACACACAAAGTGATTCGGACTCAAACAGTGCTGTCATACATTAAAGAGACTGTCCAACAAGAAGGGACTGGCTGGAAGAAGGCTATGGCTGAGAGGCTCGTCGGATGTTCCGTTATGACTACATATAACAAGAAAATGTACAGGTATGACTTTTTTTCAATATTTCTTTACTTATGAACGATTTTAGATACATATTAATAGCATTAAGGCAATTTTTTTTAAAGGTGTCAGTCTTTGACTGCCGACTATTAACTGTCGAGGGCGAAACTTCCTTTAGCGTGGCTCATTGGAGCCACCAAGGCGTTTAACCCAACATAACACCAGTTTGACATTACACTAAGGGAAAAAACACAAAAATACTCATTATCTTTGTAGTAAGATATTATATTACCCTTTATAATATTTTATTATAGTATAGATAAATACTTATTACCATAATATTACACCATTTTTTTTTATAAAAACGGTGCCCCCACACTAGGATTTTCTCCTGTGTCGTGAGTGCGTTTACAAACGTACAATTACACATGCACATCACACCCAGACCCGGAACAACAATCTGTGGATCACACAAAGGGTTGTTCCGTGCGGGAATCGTACCCGCAACTCGTTGCGCGGCCGCCAGTTGCCCAGCCATCGCGCCAACCGTGCAGTCAAAACAATTTCATTCCGTTTACAGGGTAGACAGTATTGACGATGAAAAGACACCAAGGTCAACATTTGAGAAGCTTGAAAATGGTGTACCAGTGAAGATAAGTTACGTTGATTATTACAAGAAACAATATGGTATTGAAATCAAAGATTGGGATCAACCATTATTAATATCAAGGTAATATCATTGCAAGTCTTTATATTTTTATTTCCTATTATCCACATGTCCTGGCTTCATCACTATGTATACGTGTGTGTAAACTTCTCCACTCTTTAATAGTTGTAATTATAAATATAAACCTTCAACTTTCTGTTCAATCACTCTATGTATTAAAAGAAAACCTTGTTTAGATGTTTCTTATTTAAGTTATATTTTTATAATGTCAAATACTTTATCATGGCATGAGAAAACCTCGTAATAATTTTGTTTTTCAGGGATTCTAAACTGTTACCTGGTACAGAAGGCAAAACAGACTTCATGATTTCTTTGATTCCCGAACTGTGTCAGTTGACTGGCCTCACAGATGATCAACGAAGCAATTTTAAATTGATGAAGGATGTAGCATGCCATACCAAAATAACGCCTAATCAACGCCATGCTGCATTCAAAAAGGTATTTTAGTTTCATAGTTGTAAAGTTTGTATTTGCTTGAGATTTTGTAGTTATTTGTTTTGTGTTGACAAGATAACTTCTATTCTATTCTTCTTATTTCAAAACAAAATGTTGTAGAAGGTATTAAAATCTTATTTTCTGTGTGTGGCTTCGCCTGCATTTTTTTATGTTATAGGTCGGCAAACCTGATCGCAACCTGGTGGATTACCTGGTGGATGATGGTAAGCAATCAGCGTCGCCCATGGACACCCGCAACGACGGAGGAGTCACGAGTCACGAGTGCGTTGTCGACCTTTTGGGGATTAAGGATTTGGATATTTTGGGAAAGGGAACGGATTGGGGTAGGGGAAGGATTGGGCCTCCGGTAACCTCACTCACACGGCGAAACACAACTCTTTGGTTATTTCACGCCGGTTTTCTGTGAGGCCGTGGTATCATTCCGGTGGAGCCGACCCATTTGTGCCGAAGCATGGCTCTATATGATGAAAATAAGCCTATTCAAACAAATAATTAAAAGAAACTCTCTCAACAACATTACAACATACAACAGTAAAAATATGTAAATATAAACTATTGGTATAAACAATGTTATTATCTCAGTACATAGAAACGGTGATGAAAAACGAAACCGCTAAACGTCGATTATCCGGATGGGGTCTCAGCATAGCTCCGGAGACAATAAACATCACTGCCAGAACGTTACAACCGGAGACACTGTTCTTCGGTAACAATGTCCGAGTACCAGGGAAACCTAATGCGGAGTGGAGCGGTGAAGTCACAAGAAACCATGTGATGCAAGCTGTTGATATCTACAAATGGGCGCTCTTGTACACTGATAGGGACAAGAGAGTTGTTGCGGTAAGTTAGATCAAGTTTATAAGTAATTAGGTACATTGGTTTTATGTTATATTGAAAGTAACGACTTATGTGGATGAACTTAGGAAAGCTCGGCTAGTTTCAAGTCACAACGGGACGATTATTCTTGAGCAGCGTGCAGCCGATTCAACTTGATTTTATAGTTTCAAATTAAGTCCTATAACTTCCTTACAAGGCAAATATATTTGAGGGAAAAATAAAGAAAACGTTATTATAATCAGCCAGTCTTTATTGTTTTCGCTTTTTCACTGGAAAAACTCGTCGGTGGAGCTGATAAAAAGTTCAGTGCTACCTTTTTTAAAGACAGAAATGGACTAGTATCCCGATAGGAATAAATATCGGCACTTTTCCGTAACCTAGGCCCAAACATGTATGCTTGTACGGTTTGCTTAACTAACAATCACTGTTCTCTCCTAACGTTTCTATTAATTGACAAAATTAATCGTGGGCGTCCCAAAGCCCTTCTCCTTTTGCTAAAGACGCTATTGTAGTTAAGCAAGACGACTGTGGATCTACGGAATAATAGGTTTCTCTTTTTGTGTCGCAAACTTTGTCCATGTCCATTTTCATATGCTTTTCTGATTATGAAGTGGCATCGTCAATTTCATCCGAACTCAGATAATTATATACCTTTAAATCTTGGATCCAGTAATGTTGAAGTTATTATAGCCGGAAACCGAAACACGTGTTTTTACCGAAACTCAACCGAAACGAACATTCGGTCGGGCCCTACTCGAAACTAGTAGAGCTTTACTGAGTTAATTAACGTGAGTAAGTCGTTATTTTCAAAATGTTTAGTATGTGTCATGATAGTTACTATTTAAAAAATATTTTATGGTGAATTTGAATTTTGTATTGAAACAAAGAATACAAGTTATTAAGAGTATTTTTAGATTTCTATCATTTTTTAATGATTGAAGTCCTGAAGAGCATTGTCTGTAAAGTACAAATAGTGATGACGATAGATTATGAACCCTATAGTTTTGAAATGAAGTTGAAAATCTGTTAATGGAATTGCTTACTTCTATCGCCAATCGTTGTCGAGACTTGCCAAGTTTATAGTCACTTACCTTCGTGGTTTGACAAACACATTCCACACCAATCTCGACCTTAAACACACATTATCGTCTATACAACTTCATCCTGTAAATAATCTTATTTTGCATTCACAGGACTTTGTGGACACATTGAAGCGATCCTGTCGTCCAATGGGTATAAATGTATCAGAGCCCGAAATGTTTCGGCTACCGAACGATCGCACGGACGCTTACGTTAACGCCTTGAAGAAGATCATCGTTCCCGACCTTCAGATCGTGGTAGTAATCTGCCCGTCTGCTCGCGACGATCGTTATGGTGTTATTAAGAAAATATGCTGCGCTGAAAATCCTGTACCGTCACAGGTATATTAATATTTTGTTAAATATTTATTACATATCTATATATATTTTCATTAGAGTTCAGTGCAGTTTTTAATATGATTAACTTCTCGCCTGCCTGTATATGAGACACAATAAAAAACACATTGTGTCTCGCGTAGATCTGCGATCATATCACGGGTTAATTTTCAGAGGGTTCGTTTTAATAATTTCTTCAAGCCATATTTGCTTTTTACCCGACTGCCAAAGAAGGAGGGTAATGTTTTTCGAGTGTATGTAAGTATGTATGTATGTCTTTTCCTTTGTGACCTCCTGTAGCCTAAACGGCTTGATGGATTTTGATGTATGAGGTATCGTTAGATTTGTCTTGATTACGGGAGTGTCATAGGATACATTTTATCCTAAAAGTCCCACGGGATAAAGACATAATAATATTTTTTCTAAATTTCCCTTTAAAAAAATATGTATGCGGTATCATTAGATTCATTTCAATCACGGGAGTAATTAATATAGGATACGTTTTTTCTCAAAATTCCCACGGGAACATGGCAATGAATTGGGTGTGGGGGTTCGCATAGAGCCCTCCACTGTCGATTTGATGCGCTTCGCGGACAAGGGAAGATTGAACGTCGGATGCTGCCTTTGATACTTTGTTGGGCTGTAACGGTACACAAACTGCAAAGTACCACCTTGGATCGGGCTGTCGTGGACCTATCAAACGTGTTTGCAAAGGGCCAGGCTTATGTAGCCCTAAGCCGTGTTAAAACACTTGCTGGGTTAGCAATAAAAACACTTGACCCAAAAAAGCTGTTGGACCGGCCCCACGACGAATGTTCTTTAACTGAACTTAAACGTTTGCGGGATCTTCAGCAGTAATGACTCACCTAATTCTTTTTCTTCTTCACTACCAACAGTCCAGATTGGCGGTAAATTTATGTTGCGGAGTAACATCACTCGTAATCTAAAGCCAAATGTCGTCGAAATAATTTAAAATGGTACTTACATATACATAGTCTTCTACATCTACAACATTTTCGTTAAATAAAAACAGCTAAAAAGTTATAAATAAAAAAAATATTATTAAAAAAACAAAATACCCGACTGCACACTAAAAAAAGAGTAAAACAAGCCCCACAATACAAATTTACTGAATATAATTTATAAATGTTGATGGAAAGCATCGCAGGCGGGGACCACCTTGACCGCCACCAACGAAAATTCTGCTAAATGGTGCACAACAGAAATGATTATAAATAAGCCTCTGTTGGTCCCCGCCTGCGATGCTTTCCATCAACATTTATAAATTATATTCAGTAAATTTGTATTGTGGGGCTTGTTTTACTCTTTTTTTAGTGTGCAGTCGGGTATTTTGTTTTTTTAATAATATTTTTTTTATTTTGCCTTGTAAAAGCTAACTTGCACCTGCGGCGTCCTTCGTTAGTATTGAAGTAATTTAGTTTTCGTTGTAGTCTTAGTTCCGTTAATCTAGGAATATGAGGAAATAAAAATCCTTAGTTGTTTAAACAGTAAAGTTTTTAGCCGATTTCCGAAACACGAGGAGTTTGTTTATGTGATATGGCAATCGGCGCCGCCCGTGGATACCCGCAACACCAGAGCATTTACGAGTACCTTGCTGGCCTGCAGATTAGGGTTTCGGAGATTAGGGGATTGGGGCAAGGGATTTGGTCTCCGGTAAACTCACTCACACGGCGGAACAAAGCTGAAGCTGTTTCTCGTCGGTTTTCTCTGAAGTGTTATCATTCCTTTCGAGGCGTTTTCATACCCATTCTTGTTGAATTAGGCTCTCCCATACTTAAAGTTCTATTCATTTCAATATAAGTAAATTGACTTGTTTGATTGCACAGTCTTGGCAGCTGCCAGGCACGGGATAATACTTTGTCTGATCCATAAACTGTTGTTTCGGGCCTGGGTGGCTTGTGTGTGAAATTTTATGTTTGTATACGCACACACGAACACAGGAGTAAAACTCCAACGTTACCCTTGTTTGTTTAAAAAAAGTAAATATTTTTTTATTTCCAGGTGATAAACGCCCGTACGTTAATGAACGCGAATAAGATTCGTTCGATAACGCAAAAGATCCTATTACAAATGAACTGCAAGCTGGGCGGCACTTTATGGAACATTAATATACCATTTAAGTCAGCTATGGTTATTGGTATCGATTCTTACCACGATGCTTCGCGGAAGAAGCAGAGTGTTTGCGGTAAGCTTTTTTATAAATGTTTTTTTTTTTTGTTTTGGAATGCTGGATTTTTTATGTGATAGGACAGCAACAGCAATTTTGTAGTTTCCTAAATCAAAAATAAATTAATTCGATGTTTCAATACAATTAAATATTGAAAAATAACTATACTTTTATTCATCATCGATCGATCGATACATTAATTATTAAGAAATACGTAAGTTAAATATTTGTCGCAAAAATGTTATGAAGTCATAACTCAGTTCATATAAACTTCATAGAAAAGTATAGTTTTTGACGTCTGGTAGTTTCCAAATAGTAAATTCAATACTAAAGTATTGAACCGTATTAAGGAATAGCTGATGATGATAAGCAATCAGCTTTGAGAACCTCTTTGGGCTAAAAGGTTTGGGAGATTTAGGGATTGTAATAGGCCCAATCCTTCCCTTATGGGCCTCCTGTTTAACCTCACTCATACAGTGAAACACAACGCTGTGGTTTCACGCCCGTGTTCTGTGAGGCCTTGGTATCACTCCGGTCGAGCACATTTTCATATTTTACAATATTTTTTTAAATAAATACCTTTCTTTCCAGCTTTTGTTGCATCGTATAATCAATCAATGACTCATTGGTACTCAAAAGTAGTGTTCCAAGGTCGTGGCCAGGAAATAGCGGACCATCTCAGGGACTGCTTTGTACAAGCTATCAGAGTCTACCTCAGTGTAAATGGTAATTTACCTGACAGAATTATTATATACAGGTATTGTTTTTATTTTTATTTATTTTTGTTTGTAAGACTTAAATGTTTCTTTATCACAAAACCGACTATGTTCGGCCAAGTTCGCTGTTTGGATCTTAGATGAGCAAAATACGTCAAATTTTCAATTACTCCCTTATCGACATGAGGCTTCGTTTTAATCTTAAGAAGCCACCCTCCACTACTTGAATTTCTTTTTTTGTTTCCCAGCTAACTATGCTCCGGAATTTTAGATTTTCAATCAACAAGAAAATATTTTTTATACCGTCAAGTGATTTAGGAGCCTAATCAATCGATAGTTACTTTAAACAGAAAAATGTGTCTCCATTCTCATTCTCTCTGTACATATAATGTTATTTCATTTTCAGGGACGGGGTAGGCGACGGTGAACTAAATGTGATAAAGGACTTCGAAATTCCTCAAATGCAGATCTCTCTATCTTCGTTTGAAGGCAAGACTGTACCGGCAATCACATACTTAGTCGTACAGAAACGTATCAACACAAGGATATTCATGAAAACTCCTAATGGACTTGAAAATCCTAACCCAGGAACTATCGTGGATCATGACATTACTAGACGCGATTGGTAAGTTTCATATATATGTATGTGTATTAGCGACCTGCCTTGGCTTCGCACGCTTGCACAATCTATTAAAAAAACCGTAGTTTTAAAAATGTAAGCATACATAAGGAATCCTTATTATACTTATCTATACTTCTATATTTATACTTTTATACTTTATACTACTCTGTCAAGAAAGTACCGGGAAAAAGTCAATAATACACAAAATGTTTGTTATTCATCTAAATTTATTTTATCACCTTCAAAGTATGCTCCTTCAGAAACGATACACTTACGCCAACGAATAATCCAATCATCGAAACTTTTTTTAAACGCTGTTTCCGGAATTGAGTTCAGTGCTCGCCGCGAATTCTTCTTTATGTCTTCTAACGATTGAAAACGGGTGCCACGAAGGGGTAATTTGAGTGTGGGAAAAAGAAAGAAGTCGGCTGGAGCCATATCTGGTGAATATGGTGGCTGCTCGATGGTGTTTGTTGAGTGTTTGGACAAAAAATCGTTTGCTTTTTGCAAAGGCGCATTATCGTGATGCAAAATCCAAGAATTTTCTTTCCACATCGTGTCGAATTTGTTCTCTTAAACGCCGCATAACGCTCAAATAATATTCTTTATTTACCGTTTGACCTTCGGGCAAGAATTCTGAGTGCACAACACCGCGATAGTCAAAGAAAACAGTCAATATGACTTTGACTTTTGATCGACTTTGACGTGGTTTTTTCGGTTTTGGTTCAGTTGGAAGGCGCCATTCCGAAGCTTGTTGACTAGTTTGCATGTCAAACTCGTAAACCCACCTCTCGTCACCAGTAACAATGCGTTTCATGAATGTTGGGTCGGTATTGACTCGTTCTAGCATGTCCTCAGCGACTTTCATGCGATTTAGTTTTTGAAGAAAATTCAGGTCTTTTGGGACTAGCCGAGCGGCAACACGTTTCATACCCAAATTATTTGTTAAAATGGTACGGATCGACTCGTGAGATACAGAAAGTTCGGCGGCCATCTCTCTCAAACTTGAATGAGGATTTTCAGTCACTATTTCCTTCACTTTTGCGATGTTAACTTCAGTTGCAGACGTTTATGGCCTACCAGAACGAAGCAAATCTTCCATCACATCTCGACCGCTTTTGAACGCTTTGTACCACTCATAAGCACGTGTTTTTGATAAAGTCGATTCACCGTAAGCCTTCTGTAACATTTTGAGTGTCTCCAAACACGAAATTTCATTGGCGATGCAAAATTTAAGACAAACTCTTTGTTCGATGTTTTTGTCCATTATGAAATTCGCAATACACACTAGATATTATAAAACTAAAAACAGCACTGTTTTTAATATAAATAACAGATGCAACTCAAATTCCGCGCCAAAATGGAAAACAGTTATGCCAATCTAACAACAACAAAAAAAAAAAAATTCGAATTTGGAACCATAAAAAAACCATTCATTCCCAATACTTTGTTGACTGAATGTACTAATATTATAAAGAGGTAAAATTTGTAAGTTTGTATGTAGGGGGTAATCATTGGAACCACTGGTCGGATTTCCAAAATTCTTTCACTGAAACTTTTACGTAAACTGCGACTTCCAGCTCGCCTGCTTAACATAAAGGTTAAAATTTTCTCATAATATAAAGAAGGTTCATTGTTTAGCAGTGGCCTGTTGTCATCATGTTGACGAATCAGCAACAGCATCCAAAAAGAAATAATTCCTATTTAGAAATAATGTCTTCTAACATTTATTTTCTCAATTCCAGGTACGACTTCCTAATAGTATCACAGAAAGTGAACCAAGGTACGGTGACCCCGACGCATTACGTAGTTGTTCATGACGACAGTGATATGACGCCAGACCAGTGCCAAAGACTGACATACAAACTCTGCCATCTTTATTACAACTGGCCTGGTACCGTCAGAGTGCCAGCGCCCTGCCAGTATGCCCACAAACTAGCGTCTCTAGTCGGCAGTAGCGTACATCAAGAACCAGCCGAGTCATTAGCTAACAAACTGTTCTTCTTGTAAGAAAGTATTAGTACTAAGAAGTACATAAAAGTTAAATTGTGATTTTTTGTGTAATATGCGCGGTATTTTTTCTTGTCTACCAGTGACAGCAAAATATATTTTTACTCATTGTTGCGTAGAATTTAAAACATTAGCCAATTCGAGTATTAATATAAATTTTTTTTTTGATTATTTTTCTCGCTAAATTGGTGATTCAGTACCTTTAAGGTACCTTTACCTATTTTCGTATTCAATGTCATCGTATGTTATATTTCATCAAACGATCGAATGTTCAGTCTTCATTTATTTTAACCCACCGTTTGTGAATTTATCCCACCTTATAAATTTTAAGTAAATTTTCAATTGACTGGAGTGATTGAATAAAAGAATATGCCAAAGTCAATTGAGTGATTTTAAATATAAAATGTGATTGGCTTTTATTATTGGGATGTTTTTATTATCTTTTTATTGTTGATTTATCTTAGATAACTAATGTTCCAATATTTTTTTCACGCTTATTTTAAAATTATTGTTTAAAAATACCGTGCGTATTACAAACCCACTAGAATAAAATCGGAGCTATTATTTTTTTAGTACCTAAAATTAAGTACATATAGATTTTAAGAATCCATTTGTTTACTATTGTTGTCATCTTTCTAAAGAATCTCGATTGTTTTATCGATATATTTTTTTAAACGACTTTTTGTGCTATGCTTGTCTGGACCTTAAAGAGATTTTGGGACGAAAGATAAATATGTGTTGATTAAAATGACAATTAAATAGTCATTCTGAGTTATTTGTTAGTCTTTTCGTATGATTACTGTAAAGAGATTACGTACGAGAGAACGTTCTACGAGTGAAATGCGACATGGTAACTTAAAATTGGGTATTTGTATGTGATTTTGATAAATAAAAATAGAGTTTATAACGAACGGCAGCCTTTGTGTGAAACGTGTATGTCTTTTGTAGTTATATAGTTAGTATACTATTTAGATCATTTGCGTTAAGAAAGTAGTCGAGATACTTGATCATTTATGAAAAACTAACTATTATCTGCATTTTTCATACAGAATACTTTGACATATAGCAGTAGCGTGGCAGCGTACTTAAAATCTTTTTACCAATCGTTGATACTGTGTACGTATCAAGTTCGTAAAGAGGGTTACTGCTTCTAATCGGTAGCTGGGGGCGCCAGGGCGTGACCTCAGAGAAGACTGAGCCAGATTGGCCACGTTCAAGGGCGCCTTTGGTCTCCCTAGAGACATTCATTGCACTAGGGGGCTCTGGAGTTGGTTTATTAAGAAGAATACCCGGTGTTCCTTGTAGGTGATGATGGCCACTTGGGAGGTTTTAGTGTGGTAAGAATACCATACTTCTTAGTCTTTTTTTTCTAAAAAAGATAGTTGCCTATTGGCGGTTTCCCTCGGTGATAAAGGACACTAATTTGTTTTTTTTAACGTTGCCCTATACTAGGATTTTCTCCTGTGTCGTGGTTGCGTTTACAAACATACAATTTTACATGCACATCACACCCAGACCCGGAACAACAATCTGTGGTTCACACAAAGAGTTGTTCCGTGCGGGAATCGAACCCGCGACACGTTGCGCCAGTTGCCCAGCCACCGCGCCAACCGTGCAGTAAAATTTGAACGAATTACACTCGGTTTCTGCAAGGCTTGTCAACGCTAAAATTATCTAATCTCCTGTTAAATCTCTTGTCAAGTCATCTGATTGGTTGTTGATAATTAAGTTAACCAGATGACTTAGAGATTAAATTAATTTTAACATTGATCGGCCTTTCGGAAACCAGATGTTAATCTCTTCTTCAATAAACTGGCAATCTGTTGGACATTTTTCGTCTGTTATAGTTATTGGTTCAAACGAACCTTTGATACATTTTGCGATTGACGAGTTTTAAATTCTATCAAATGTTAGTCACTTATTTTCTGTTTCACTCTTCCTAGTTAAATAGTCATGCAACATTTACATGATTTGTTTTTCTAAACTGTTGTTATATTATTCTAATTCAGATAGAAATTAAACGGAATACACTTGGAGCATTCTTCTCCATAGGAATCTATACACTTGGCAACAATCAATAGTCCTTACTAAGATTGAGAGTCTGACATTTCAATGCGGTTGTTGAGTACCAAAGTTATGAATAATCTAATTTCAAAAAGGCAAACATAAGAACCACTAATTAGTGGAATTTAGGTTTTTTTGTGAGGGGAAAATCATAATATTGCAATTTATACTCGAATCAGAATTCCTGAAACATTCAACAAATGATAAATAATGTCCAAGCGTTTCTACATTTCTTAACGCAAATGGTTTCAAAACGATGCTCAAAATGTACCTCAGGTGAAGTCGCATTTAATAGTATATGACAGTACTTATAATTAATTTCAATTAAGGCTTTAGTTTTGTCAAGATAGCAGTAGTGACTTTATATACTAAGTTGAACTTCTATTCTTGTATTAATTCCAAACGAACTATTGTTTATGTAGCATACTTGATTCTATTAATTATTTGCGTGTTTAATCAAAATTTTCTCAGTCTTCGAGGAATGCTTGGTTATTTTCGAACCACGCCGGAGCTCATAATCTTGAGCTGCGTGTATGTCTACTGGGTCTTTTGATTGTTGGCAAATTATTAGTAGAATCGACTTCGTCGTATTATTTGACAGTGTACAGTAAAATTTGTAATAATAAGCGTAGGTATTATTAAAAAAACAATTGTTTAACTATGTGTGATTCTTGCATATTTTCGATGTGCCAGTGTGTAACTGTTAAACCTATCTTGTTTGAGATAATTAAAGTTTTTTAAAGTTTGGTAATGGTGTGTCTATAACAAAACGTATGATTGATCTATGTTGACATTTTTATAGAGAATTTTATTTGAAGATTCCAGTATGTTAGTATCCACATTATTCAAATTTGTGATCAGAAAGAAATACTTTCTCCAAGTAGATACAGAACAACAGACACGATCAAAGTTACTTAAAACTGTCAATTGGATTTAAATATTCAAACCACAAGCCAAACATTGTGTCTCTTATTACCAAGATTGAAAGGTTAATAATAGATTTGCAATCTTATTATTATGCACCGAAGACTAAAATTCTTTAAACAACTTTGAAGTACTTGCTACAATCCTTACTTCTTTATGTTCCTTCATTCATTTTAATACATCTAGTCATTTACGCACCAGTTAAAAACACACTTATTAACTTTTTTGTGGTCCTGCCACCCAACTCGCTATGTTCAGGTGGTGGAATTGTCTACGCGCAATGTTTCATCACAGTGCCTAGTGAGAGCTTTGTTTACGTTACGGCGTTCAACTCTCTAATTGGTTCGTTAACTTTGAGCCAGCCAATGAGTGCCGAATGTCATAAAAGTAAAACAAACTCGTACTAAGCCTTGGTAATCTGGTTGCTTCTTTACCCCCTAAGTAAGTTTTAAGGTCGATACTGAGCCAACCAGATTTGTCTAATAAATTAGTATAAACTAGGAACGACTGCCTGGTTTTATCTTAGACCACTGTTATCCACCTGGGAGAGCTAAGCTTCAGCACGAATTGGCAGGTTTAACATTAGTGATACAACTACCTCACAGAAAAGCAGCGTGATGAAACTACACTAGTCTTTTGCTTTGGAAATGAGTTAAGAAGGTCCCCCCAATGGCCGGAAAAGCACCTGTGTCCATGAGCGGCGCTGATTGCTTACCAATAACCGAAGTACCCTGAAAAATATTTTCATTGCTAGTCTACCTAGTGAAATTATTCAATAATCTGGCATATAGTAATTTCTCATGTTATAAATAAGCATAAGAATTTTGACTCTATAAGAAAATTAACTAGGGTATAGTTAATTAACCTCATTGTAATTATCATACCCATTAGAGTAACATTTTTTTATGTTCTAAATAATATCGATAATTGATTAGACGTAGTATGCGAATATCGATTTAGTGAAAATCGAGTCGAAAATAAAACGATGTTAAGTAAACTGTATTTTAATATGTGTGAAATAGTTTTAGACGTATGATACATGCCTATTGGACTGATAGGGTATACAAGTAATTTCTTGACTGTACTCTTCTAGTTAAGGAGCTGTGAAAGAAGTAGGGTGTTGTCAATTCGATTCGAATTTCAACCCTATTCTTAACTACATACTATTCGTTTTCTATCGTCCTCCGATATCTAGGAGGCAGCGATGACAGCTAAATATAAATTAAAGATATGATCTATACATACATAATTATGTAATACAAATGCAGATGTATACATAAATATATTTTATACTTTTCATACAACACAGATTAAAGTGTCCATTTTTATATGATTATTATGATAGATTAAGAGTGACTTGAAAGAATGCCAAAAGAACTTCGACATTTATTACCAACTATTGCAACTTCTGTAAGTTACAACTTAAAATAGAAAAACCATAAAATACAGGGACATTAAATATTGTTTTGGAGCCCGCAACGAAATTAATAAGGAGTAACAAACACTTGTGACTCCTTTGCTGTTTATACTGTCCATAGACAATGCGGATTGCTCACCATCAACTCTTGCCCCTTCATTAAAAAGCGAAGGCTGAAAGGTGTTCCTGTACTAAAAATAAATACGTTATGGGTTAATTTTGTAAAAATTTCAGCCAAAGATGCGTTTTACTTAATACTACTAGGGGCTATGTAATTTGTAACATTTATTTTTGCAGAATAATCTTGAGAATCTTAATTTTTTTTGTTTAGTTTTTTTTTTATGTTTTATTTTGTGTTCAACTGTTTTTTTTTTTAATTTTAATAACACAATTTGCATGTTAGTTCTATTCTAAAATACAAGAGGGCCAATTGCTGAATTAATGCAATATCTTCTAAATGATCGCAGCCTTGTAATGGATTGGTTAACTTGGAGCAGTAAGCCTAGCGTGAGTTCGCTTTACGTTAAAGCGTTTGACATGTTTATGACATTCAGCGCTACAATTGGCTAGGTCCATGATAACCAACCAATCAGAAGGCAATAATAA